CTGATCATGTTTGATGGTTATTCTACATTATTAAGAAGATAAAACATAAGTGAATAAATGTGTGTCATCATGATGTAAACTGGTTTCTCTCATTCATACTGAACCTTATTACTGTGTAAACTAATTTAACTTCACATTTAATTCTGGCAGCATGTAGCTGATGTGGTTGTTTTGTTCTGCTCCTCTTAATGAAATTATAGATCAGACTCCTTCATTTTATATATTATAGTGAGTTGATTGTAAAAAATATCAGTTTCTTAGCTGCTGCTGGTTAAGATGTAATTGTTTAGGTATTACAGCATCTCCTGATGAGTAGTAAATAGAACATAACATTAAATACGGATGTTTAAAGAGTGCAAAATGAGAATAAAGTGTTTTCTATTACCAGGCAGAACACTCGTATAAAACATTAAAATAAGTCAGCTGGTCATGGATTGGTCACATTAGTGAGATGATTCAGTGACTGTGAGGCAGAGACGACGTGTACGAGGACAAAACATACAAAACTGAATGCATCATTAATAAAGTAAATATTATTTGTGAACCTTTATGAGACACAGTGACATTATTCATTTCAGTTTTCTCCACATCATGCTGGTACGCAGCAACATCTCTCACAAAATCATTTTTGTCTGAATAAAAGATGATTTAGTTTAATAATAGAGACCAACACTGAGTGAAAATCAGATGCCTGTTAAGTGGTGAAGCTCATACTTGACCTGAGGAGTGGCTGCAGCACCAGGACGCCAACTCAACGACCAAGTACCAACGTCTGTGGAGCTTTCAGCCAAATCATGTGGTCTTCAGAGGATGCAGTTCGTTTGGTTGTTTCGTTCCATATTAGCAGTTTGCACACAGAGCCACGTCTTAAATAACGCTTTGAACTGTCTGAGCACGACTCTGTGACTTGTTTTTAAATCCAGCTTATTGCACACGATGACAAAGTTCTCGAGTCATTAATATTCATGTTGACGTGCAAAACTCAGAAGTACTTTGGTCAACAGATTTACGATCACTGATCACGTGATGAAGGTGAAAGCTCCGGGAAAAAAACAGGTGCTAATGTGCCTGCCAGTGTAAAAGTTCTTCTCTTCTTAGTATTCCTTACCATGAGGCCATCAGCTTAACTTCCACTTTCCAAGAGGCGAAACCTTTAACAGCAGTAATTTTGTCATTTTGCTCACTTTACTGCCTTTTAAAAAATACATTCAGGGATTTAAATATGCAGAAAGTCATTAGGTGAGGAGGGAAAAGATGAAATATTAATGACTACATGCTGCTGCAGTATTATGAGGGATCAATAAACAAACCACCAACAGCTCGTACTAAAAGAATATAGTTTTATTAAGCATTGTAGCTAAGTTGCCTTCAAACACACCACGCCACATCCATCAACATTCAGACCCGGCTGCTGTTCGTTCCTTTACAATCCATGAGTTAGGAAGAAACTCTGATCAACATACATAGAAGGTAATCTATAGAAGCTTGTTGCCATGTGGGAGGGGGTACATCATTTCTCTGATCACTAATGAAAAGATGAAAAGCTTCAGGAGAATCCATATGAGAGTTAAAACCAACACGAAAAGAAACCTCCGAACTGATCACTGGTGGCGAACGTCTCAACCGGAAAGCGTTGGACGCTACAGAAGGTGGCGCTCGCTTATTCTATTGAGCTTTTTTTTCAGATATTCGACTAATGCAGAAAAGAGCAACAGAGAACAATATAGTATGAATACACTACAGCAACGTGGCTAGATAACTTCTGGCTTTTTTCTTTAGTTAATGCAACAGAGGTCAATATCACAAAGAAATTCAAGGTCAGAACAAATCCGTTACTAACAGTTAACACCTTTTTATGGGCCGATATGAGCCGTGTCTTTAATTTTCGCAAATGGGCACCGTACTCGGAGGGATGGAGGAAAAAGGACGACATGCATAATAACTACACACCTCTGGAAACCATGCACCAGATCTTTGATTGAAGCGGTAATACTACAGCTCTACGTCTGAGTCAGGAAGTCGAGCATCAGAGTTTGAGACGTTTTCTTTTTTTTTTTTCTTGTCTGATTTTAGAGCCGTTTCTTGAAATGTTACTTACAGCTAAAGAAAAAACAGGCTGAGACTGAGTGGAGCTCGTCTGAACTGATGGACAGAGTCGCTTTAAACTCAACTTAAACTCAAAGTGGTGAGCGAAGAGTTTGCTTAAGCGTACCAACCTAAAGGAACTGAAAAGATTTCCAAATTAAAGCTTCTGGGAGCTTTAATATTCTAATTGAAAAGGAAAAAGCGTCATTCTTATAAACATGTACAAGTCTTGGTGACAAGGGAGCGAACGACTCCTTAAACTACCAGTGTGTCCTATCTTGTGTGTTTACTGATGTTCCTAAACCTGTTCCATCTTCCATCCTTCAACCCTCTCTAGAAAAAAATAGGCTTACTCTTCTTTTTGTGAGACGGCGGCCTCCAGACCTTCATCTCTGTGGTGGCCGCTGTCTACATTTAGTGCATTTAAGTGAGGATTAGTATTGCACGTCTTGGAGTCACTGCTAAAGGCACTTTCAGGTTGGATGAGAGCCCTACGTTCCTCTTTATCTCCGTTCAGCTGCTCTTTGTCCTCCACGCCGTTCTCGGTGGCTGAGCCGTCGCTCGGCGCAGGAGACGATTTCTTCTCCTCTGACTTGGGTTTCTTTCTCTCTTTGGCCACGTCGTGTCCAGATGCATGGGCAGGCTTATAGGCAGGCCTGCTTTGCTACAAAGGACACACAAATACAATCATTTAAATACAAAAACAACCTTCTGCCAAAGAACATCACACTGCAAGAACGACTGTGGGTGATTTTAAAATCAGGTGCGACGAGGAGGAAACACAGATGTGGGCTGGAAGTCCTGGTAGCAAACCGAGAGGCTACAGAGTCATTCAGAAGTTAATTAGCAGTAAAATAAAGGGTTTTAAACAGCACAGGCACCTGCTGAGAGGCTGTTTAGTTCCCACTCATCTCATGCTGAAAGCTCACACAATGGTGGTGAGTTCTGTTGTTGCTCCGTAATTAAAGAGTGAAAAGAGCAACAGCTGGATTTTGATCTTTGGGAAGCAGCTACATACTGTACAGTAACACAAAATGATCCCACCTTCCTAAAAAAACGGGGGATAGTGGAGGTAGTTTTTGTAGTTTTGGAGCAATTTAAATTTCTACAGAAGCATGATCAATATGCTGCAACATCTGGAAAATGTTCTGGTTGCTTCAGAAAGTATCCGGATGCTGCCACTTTTCTTGCACATTTCATATTGTAGTCTTGATTTTAAATGAATAAAACTGGTATTTGCTTCGATAAAATTGCTCTCAATCATCCAGAATTACAAAGTCAAACACAGTGTTGGAGATTTTATGAAACAGGTGAACATCCCAGACTGAAATCTCTCTTTTCCCGTTCAGAGTCTTGCCCCAGATGCATCCTGCTCGCTTTGATAATCCTTGAATTTTCTCTACAACCATCTGTGACAACTCACACTTTTTTTCGAGACAAAATCCAACCACATAGTTCAACGTAAAATGGAACCACCAGGACTCTTCATTGGGTTGGAAACTGAGTGATGGAGCAAGAAGTCAGGAAGGAGACCAAGAACCCACGACAGTCGCTCGAAGGCCGACCTCAAACTCCAGGAGTTTCAAAATCCTAACAGACTTTGAAACCAGGTGCATAAGGAGAGGCTTCTATTCTGCTTTCTGATCTCAGACATGCTACAAGATGGAGAATAAGGGCCCATCACACACTAGCAGGTATTAACACCATCATGGTGCCGGAGGGAGCGATCAGGGTGGAGCGCTCAGCCTCACCTCATCTCATGAGGAGGCAGATTCAAGCCAAATGGAGACTGTGGTGCAACAACTGGCTGTTAATAATACTTTGCAGTGAGAAGAGAAAACAACAGCAGAAGGCTAAATGAGTGTAGAAGACGCAGTCAGCACGGCTTGTTTATTCTTCAGGGAGATCCGTTTTAATATCTGTAGCTAGCGCTAGCCTCCAGGGCTACGATGTTTAGCATTGCTTGGCAACAGCGTCCACTGCTGTGGGCGCTTCCAGGATAATCGTAACCTTCTTGATTTTTAACTCATAAATATTACTGGAAGCGGCTTCGATAAGCAGTTCTGGATTAAGACTGACTGACTGACTGAGACATCTGGGCTGAACATCGGTTCAGATGAAAGATCCCAGACCAGATTTCTCCTCTAACTGTTGGGGAGGACCTGAACGGGAAATCTGCCCAAAGCTCCTACAATGTGAGCCCAGCCAAAGAGAGACTCAGGAGAACCTGTCAGAGGAAGCCCCATCTCAGCAACATCAGTCAGGCATGTAGGGCAGGGTGGCCGGTCAGGAAAGATTACTAAAAAGAAAACCTGGTAGGAGTTCACCAGCGAAGAGAAAGATCGTCTGGTCTGACATGACAAACCTGGGAAGACTCCAAGCATGAACCTATGCTTACTACTGACTGCCCTACTCATAACCTGCTTGTACCATCTCGACGGTGATGCACGGTGGTGGCATCATCAAGCTCTGATGGTGTTCCCCAGCAGCAGTGACAGGGAGACTGGTCAGAACTGAGGGAAGCATGAACGCAGGCAAATATCCAGGCAACAGTTCATCATGACCCAAAGCAACTCCAGACAGCACTGGAGTGGCCTCAGGACAAGTCTGACTGTCCCTACGTGGTCCAGCAAAGCCCAGATTTAAACCCCACTTAGCATCTGTGGAGAGGACTGAAGATAGCAGAAGATGACACTTCCAACCTGACAGAGCCTGAGATGATGTCACAAAATCCAGGTGTATGAAGAGACCTACCCAAGAAGACTGAAGCACTAACTGCTGCCAAGAAGCTTCCCCGCAATCCAGAATTAAAGATCGGAATAATGTTAAAAAATGAGTGATTTCATCTCAATAAATCCTTAAATCCTTCGTCTATATTGATTAGTGAGTGTGGATCAATGGGCAAGTTCAGCAAACCTACACATCTACAACTCAGTGTGAAAAAAGGAAGTAATCTGAATACTTCCTGACTTCATCGTATTTGTTGTGGATGTCTTGACCACCCATCCCTCCAGAACATCAGGGTCCAACCACGTCCGGCCTCTCAACACACTCCGTCCAGAGGAAGCCATACTGCAGACTGCCGTGTCATCTGAAGAGCACGCTGATGATTCTTCAGAGGATAATTCCTTGTGACTCCCTGACATTTCTTCTACAAATAGAGAGCTCAGAGTCCCATTAAATTTGCAGTGGATCTTCCAGGTTCATGGTGTGTGACCCCTAATGTTTTTAGAAACCCTCTAAGCTTCCCTCTAGCACCACCCTGAGGACATTTACACGTCTACTAAAGAACATTGGGTGACTATAGCTCATGGTTCCCACGAGATGTTCTGGAGCTCTTTTCCAGAACCAATGCGTTATCTATGGATCACTGGTGCGTCATATGGATTCAGACACTACATGCAGCGATGTAAGGTGATTTGATGAATTTGAACTTGAACATCTTTAAGCGTCTTGTTCAGGAATCCTCACTGGTTAAACACCGGCTGTTATCTTGTGCATGGGTGCTTATCCATAAATGTGTATTTAACAGCACACAGAGCTACAGGGTTTGACGTTGGCATTTCCTTGCTGAACACCAAACCTTTGTCTAGACATTTGTATTTAATCCATGCACTTGTTTATCATTGATTTCTTCGGGCATCTTTTTAAAATAACTGATCTTCCACAAGGACGCTCCGCTCCAGAACGTAAAATGGCCTCAGTCAGTATTGTGTTCTTTATTTAAATAGATTTTCTCTTGGTGTGTAACAGCTGGTGGTTGGGTTCATGCTGGTGTCTCTATACGAACTGCACAAACTCCAAGAATTTCCGTTTTTGGGTTTTTTGTTTTGTTTTGTTTTGCTTGTGGGCGTCTTTTTCACTGCGTCTCTATTGAGACGTTACAAACATGGCTGGAAGTAGAGAGAACTCAGAGATGTCTTTAGTGCAGTTCTGATGCCACATGGCGGCCGACGGGGGCAAACGACGTGCACATACCCAGACGAGCTGCATGTACATGGATGTGTTGGATAAACAGGAACGTGCTGCAAAAGGAAAATGCTGCACATCCAGTCACACAGCGGACGTCCCACAGACCTCCAGGGGCGGATTTAAGTCACTGTGGTCATGTGGGTGCTGACGTGGTGTTTCACTCCCATCTCCCTGTGTTCTCTCTGTTATTTATGTTTATCCATGGAGACGAGCGAACACAAACCTTTACATGCAGCTTTTCCCGACTAACGCCACGTGTCTCGCTCACCTGTCGCCTCTCAGGTGCTCACTGCTGCTGCACTTCAGCTGGAAACTCTCTCCAATCGCTGTCAAGCAGCTGCTGGCTGCAGCCGAGTCATGAATCTCAGTAATGCAGCGGAGCACAGGATTTGTTTTTGCAGATTATTTTTGGCTGATGTTTAAATGAGAAATGTATACAGTGATTCTGATCAGATGTAATGATCTTAAGTTTATATTTGGATAATTTTCCGGGCAAGGCTGTACTTTACACATGATTAGTTTGAGGACCGTCTCAGAAGTGAAAATCCAATGATTTGTTCTGTTTTTCAAGTTTCTTTCTGATAAATGGTGCCGTTTTGGCAATTTAGATAAGACGCCTTCTCAAACCAGCCATGTTTGAAAAGAGGATGAAGTCCTGGCATCCAGTCACCACAGGAGCTTGTTTAATGTAAGATGTATGCAAAAACCTAGCTAGCTATAAAAGCTGCTTAAATGTTTGTGGTAAAGATGACAGTCAAGGACGCATCTCTGCTCAGTAAATGTTATTTTCTAAAAAATTAAAAGAGAAACGTGGCCTCAGTTTCACTGTGAAATCTTTGTTTTTCATCCGTACTGTTGGTTAAATTAGCAATGACTGACTGAAGAAGAGCAAGAAGAACTGTCTGCTTGAGTTGAAGGACAGGTTCACAAACTATCAAGGCTGTCTGGAATAAACCACTTTGTGTTTCTGTGTTGAGCTGCAGCGGAGGGACAGTAACTAAACACTTCAGAAAACAAGTGAGGAAAGTCCTCTTGATTTGTGTGACAGCTGAAGCATCACAGTAACGGCACTGATCTGACAAACTGAGTCCTAAGAAGACGAACAAACGTGAGCCAAGCATGAAAGGCTCTTTTTTCCTTCGACAGTTTTTCAATCAGGCAAAAATCACACAAATGATTTATGAACAGGAGAAGAGGAAAAATTCAAATCCCCATTATGTGTGTGATTAAGTGCAGCAGCATCTGATTGTTTAAACTGCTCCGTGTTAGTAATGATTCATCACCAGCTCACCAGGTACGCTCCCGGACTCCTGAAGGCTCGAGTGTGGTACCGTCCCCCTCGACCAAACATCCTGATGACAGGCGTGGAGATCACATCTCTGGGACGACTACAGAAAGAGGAGACAACTACAGCTGAAGTGCGTTTCCATCCTCTTTTTTATTTTAAATACACATTTTTAATTTGCACCAAAAAATCCCTTCGTGGACATTTGCAAAGATCCAAAAGCAGCTTTAAATTGTACTTCCAGGAGCACTGGCATGTATTTACTGCAGCTATACGAGGAGTACTAGTAATACGAGGAGGTATCACAGTCAGGTTAGTTAGACATGATGTCAGGGAGCTTGTGTCCATCACACTCCGCTCACGGTTTATTGTAAATGTGACACATTCTACACCAGATGGAAAGTGAACTCGTCTACATTTTCTTTTACATGTTTTTCTTGAAGTTCTGCTCTAATGTGCACTATGTTTGAATGAATCTCAGCTACTGCTTAGAAATAAATGATAAGTCCATGTGACCTTTCTGTTCTTACCCTCTGTTCGGTCCACCAACAGACACCACCTGGACCGGGAAGCCTCCTCTTCCTCGGCTGTGTCTCATGCCGGCCCACTGACCCACCACGGTGCCGGCGATCTCCAGCTTCCCGCCCTGTGCTGAGATGCCTTGAAGTCCTTAAAGAAAAAGCAAACACCAGATATTAAGAATGAGTGAGGCAGGGTTTGGTTTAAGAACGGGTGTCAGGATGCTATCAACCATCATGAGAGGCCAAAACACAGAACCTGGTGGCCTGTTTTCACGGCTGCGCTCACCGGGCATCCCCCTGCCCCTTCCTGGGGGCGGCATCATCGGTGGCGGGGCGTAGAAGGAACCGGCTGGGGGGTAGAAAGGCATCGCGTGAGGAGGCGGAGGTGGCAGTGGCGGGAATGGAGGAGGGTGAGGCGGGCGAGCGAAGCTGAGACCTTCCAGGATGCTCTGGCGCATCTTCTCCACCTTGGCAGCCAGCTCAGCCTGAAGGGAGGCAAGTCACACAACTGGTGTTTGATGGCTTGAAGACCTCCTATTTGTCTCAGTGTGAAAGAGAGCACGACTCCATTTGATATTTCTAGTACCGGCTAAAAATAAAAGGCAGTTATCAACCTCTCAAATCAGTAGCTACGAAAATCAATATGAGACCAGAGCCTGTGTTTAAGTGTCTCTGTAACAGACGGCTTCATTAGCTCAGCTGCTGTACTTCCACTGTGGCGCAACCCCTAATGGAGGAGAAAAGCTTCCAGCGCGATTAAATCCTTGTAGTATTAAACCATTATTTAGCTTGTCAACGTGCGCTCGTAAACGCTGGAAAGCCAACGACTGCTGTAAAAGTCATTCATAAGCCCAGACAAAGGTTTGGACAGCACAGCAGGACGAGGGCGAACCTACGGCAGTAAGCTCCACTCCTCTGATGTTTGATTGAAATCCTGCTTCCATCTTCTGCTGACACGTATGTAGATATCTGTGTGGACCAGGAGCAAGTATTGGGATCGCCAGAGCACTTTTTGGGCTTCTTGGATCTCAGCTGGGGAAACATCAGTGTCATGGTTCTGAATACGTCTCAGCATCAAGTGTTCACGGTGGGGGATCGAACTGTCCCCCATACGATTGGTGGACAACCCGCTGATCCAAGGCGGAAAACAGAAGATTTGGTTGCACACAAGACATGCTGTATGGAAATATTTTGGCTTACAGGAAGGATGACGTCTTGCAGTTGTTGCCTCTCAGCGGCACAAAGCTCTGTGTGATCAGGCAAAGCCAGATCTGAACACCAACCAATGCCTTTGCTAGTGTTCCACCATATAAGAAAGGCTTCAAAGAGCAGAGAAACCCACTTTCCACCTCATGAAAGACTTGTAATCCAACCAGACAGCGAAGCCCTACACAAGTCATCCACTTTCCTAACGAGGACCTCCAACTTAAAAGGTCAGTTTGCTAACAGCGTTTTTCCCGGATGATCATACAAGTGAGAAAATCCCAGCAGGGAGGAGAAGCGTTGGTTCTTCTAGCCGAGGAGCAGAAGATTTCAACGGCACATGTTGCTTCTTTCACAGCCGGCCAGATTCTAAAGAGTTCTCCTCCTGGATGGTGTTGTGTTGAAATAAACCCATGACGACTGAAAACACGCTCACAGTCTCTGACATCTTTACTTTAGGTGGAAAATCTGTCCAACAGCCAGTAATTACAGCTGAATGACAGAAGTTCAGCTGTCACAGAGAAAACAGTTCTGAGCTTCAAGAGAGTCTAAATGTGTGTGTAAAGGAAAGTCCGGTGGGTTTGGTGGATGGTTCCCCAGTGAAGTACTGGTGGGAGCTCCATGGAGCAGGTCTTGAGCATCCTCACTGGGATGCCATCAGGCTCCGGGGCTCATCGGGGTCCAGTTGGTCCTTCAGGTGCTCATCTGTGACGAGTGTAGCAGCGAGCGAAGAATGAATTCTGTTCAGTGGTAAAAAGGTGTCTGTTCACGTAGGTTCACATCCTGCCAGAGTTTGTGCCATCTGTTTAGCTTTCACGCTGCCAAATTCATGCTCCAGTTTGTCCTTGAATGTCATTTATACTTTAAGAACTTAATTTTTCATGTGTGTGCTCTGAGACCAGCTCTGTCTTCTGCTTCCTCTTCAGCTCTGGACGTATTTGAAGGAGATCCAGGGTTTTGGAGCTGGAGTATGTTGTTATTGTCTAACTGGTGTCGTGGGACTCATGCAGACATTAACAGTGACCGCTGCTGTTTCAATCTCTTTCAAAGACTTTCCAGTTCGTACATGTGTGATGGCGTCCTCCATCCATAGAGGGGCGCTGTAGGACTGTGGCTCATGTCGTTTGGGTCTGCACAGCAAAAGTGCTGTGACACATGCTGTGGTTGTGAACTATCTTAACTATGGATTTATTTTCAACCATACAGCGTGAGGGCCTGAGAAGACATCCGTCTGCAGCTGCCATCACAGTGAGACCCACCTGGTCAGGTACACCACGACAGACTCGTCTTTCAATCACATCGACTTATTTACACAATTCTTTTATGAACAAATGCATTTTATCGACTGAACTTTTGGGTGAAATGTATTCAGATGCAGATATAAGCTCTAGAAGTAAAAACCGTTTGGCTACAGAGGTTGTAAGTTTTCCTGCATTCACATCCTTCATGCAGGCAGCAAGCGTTCAGTCAGACTGAAAACACACGATTAAAATGATCCACTGAAGGATCACATTAGTGGCCTGATGCTCACGGCTTTGTTTCCCTGAATCTCTACGACGACAGTGAAGAAGAAGTATAACCCCTGGAGCCACACTAATGGAAAAACAGACAGCTGACACAAACCAGAGCCGACTAGCCGAGCCCTCGGCTGCAGCGTGTTTTGCTGACGTGCGATCGGTGTGGTTGAAGCTACCTGACCATCACAGAGGTCGATGAGCTGGGCCTTCTCCCTGTTGGCCCTGATAAGTTTACTCTGAAGCAGCTTGCCGTCAAAGTACATCCAGGGACAGCAGTGCTCCCAGGGAATGGGCTGTCCACAGGCGTCGTTGGCAAACAGAGCCATGTCCACTCCGCTCATGAACAGAGCAGCCAGCTGGACTCCTCTTGGGTCCAGGTTGTCGATCTGCGCAAGACATATATAGAGACTTACAACATTTCGAAATGAACGGGAAACCAAAGCAACCTCTAACGTGGCCACTCAGCATTCAAATGAACAAAGTGCAAAGCAAAGCACAGAGCAAGCGGAAGCAGCTTCATTCACTCCTGCCTGCTAAGACACAGCGGTGGACGATCTAATCCAGCCAAGACAGAAAGCCAGCAGACACAACCTACATGTTCTGACCAAGGCTGACACACAGAGACCACAAGGAGCAAAGCACACAGCTTGTGTGGATGGTTTAAGAAAAGGCCAAATGAGAGCAGAGCTCCAGCTTGTGTGGGGCTCAGGACGAGGTGTGGAGTTGATAAACCATCCACACGTGACACGAGAACCCCTCAAAGCTCTACAGATACATGTCTTAGTGCAAAGCTACTGCCTCTGTAACGGCGTGCTGGTAGAAAACAGCGTTTTGTACCAGCACAGAACGCAGAGCAGCTCGTTCAGTCTGCGCACGATGAGGAGTGTCCGGAGAAGCAGGAGAGGAATCCAATACACGAAAGCCGACTGGACGGCAGGTTACGGCCAAAATCTTCCTGAACTTGTGTGTGCTTCTCGGACACGCCTCATGTGATAAACACTACAAAATCACCTTCAGTTCCTGCAGCTGGTCAGGCTCATAAAGTTTAGGAGAAAGTGCTTGGGCTAGGAAAGCGTCAAGTTCGTTACGACGCAAAATTCTTACTCCTGGCCAATGTAACATAAACCTGAAGCAAAACACAGAAGGTTAACAGTGTTATAAATAAAAAGCAGGAACTGGTCAACACTGTGTTCATAAAGCCTCCCTCCCTTCCTCTTTACATCACACTGGTCTCACCTAGACTACAATGTGTGCATGAGGCCTGAGCTTCAGCCGGGTCGGTACTCACCGCAGCACGCAGCACAGCACCAGGAGGGGCGTGGGCACGTGGGCCGGGTTCAGCATGGCCGGCGTGTCGGAGCGCATGCAGGCCAGGAACGCTCTCATCCTGCGGTTCTTGTCCTCCACAGCCTTCCCCAGCCACAGCTTCTTCAGATTGGGGCAGGTCCACTCCCTGAAGGGCAGAGCCTCCACCAGCTCCGGGGTGTGGGGAGACTTGCCTTTGTAGGCGGCCCACTCTTTCACCATGATATGTGTGTCTGGAGGAAATAAAATCAAGCATCACACATTGAGCTTGGACTAAAAACTGACATCCATCACAGCAAGAAACTTACAGGAACAGAATCGTTCAAGTTTCCAACTGTTCTTGAACAAAGCATAATACTTTAGATATTGTTGGGAAAAACAAACAAATCTAAAAATCTCTTTATTCTACACGTCTGCTTTGAATAAAATGCCTACAAACTATTTGCAGTGACGACATTTTGTAAGAAGACAAAACTTCTGCATTTTTAACAAAAAGCCAGCGATGACTCATGAGCCACCAACAGCGGTGACAGAAGTTTAGAAATATGCTAAAATAGAAGCAGTGAAATATCTACAGCATGTTGAGCCGCCGTTTCGTGTTCGTAACACTTGAGGGAAAACTGCTTCACGTGTTGATTCCAGTCTTATTAAATTCTTGTAAACTGATGAAAGAAACTCAACTTAACTGGGCATTCTAACTTTGTCATACTGCACACAGGAAAGCTTTGAGTCGTCTCTCCTTCTGGTCATGATGTTGTTTCCATAGAGCTGCAGGACTTTATATTGCAGAGAAAAAACGAGCCAGCAGTGAAGGAAAATGTTTCAGGGGGTCGATCAACATGTGATTCAGTTTGTAGCTGCAGGTTCTAAACATTTCTAAACGGATTCAGATGAAATAACCAAATTAATTACTGGATTCAGGTTGAATGAAAAGTTAAAATCCCTACTGCTGTCCTTATAGTCCAAAGCAGTAATTTTTCTGTAAACTTATAGTTGAATAAATGCAGAAATACATATAGAAATAAACTGAAAGTAAATACATATTGGTCGTACTACATTTCCTCATTTCTTTCATGCTTTAGTATGTAAGCAGCACTTTGGTCTGATATGTTAATTATGTAGGTGGTTCTGACCTCAGCCAAAAGCAGGCCAATCAGACAGAAGCAAACTCTTCCTACCAGCTCTAAACTAGCAGCGCTAACCTGAGGATAGTAAACAGCATCCTGCATCTTATGCAAACTATATGCTTCATTTTTTAAAATGACAGATGTGCAATAATGTTATTTCTTTAATTGCACCTCTTTTTTTTATCACTTAATGACACCACTGTCCCTAAAAATAAATCCTATTGATGAGCCCTGTGGTTTGCATCACCTGTAGAGCCACATTTATGTCAAACACGTCGGACTGAAAAACAATCTGGATCACCACTGATCTGAGGCGGCACATGAGTGAAGTTAGATCTACACTGCAGAAGTTGGTTTCTCCTGTAAAGATGGCATACATTCTGGATATTTTAGATATCAGTAGTGTTCAGTTTTAAGGTTGCTAAGTGTTTCTGGCCTGTGCCCTATTAGGAAGGACTTTCTGCATATGAGACTATTAATACAGACCCAGAAACCTCAGCACAAGATGTGATGCAGCAGCTCTCTCATGATGGGACTCACACTCAGGGAGGCAGTTCTTCCTCATGGCGAGTCTCTCAGCCTTCTTCCTGGCCTCGGCCAGGCTGAAGAGCACTCCGTAAACATACTGACGGATAGGTCGAAACAGCTGCACTGCTGAAGGCAGGTCTTTGTTAGCTTCATCTTCAATGGTGACAGATAGCTTAATCTCTCCCTGCAAAGACATACTGTTACCTCAATGCTGCACAGTGACTCAGATAATTCACATTCCACCTACAGGTTTGGGTCTGTGTACGCCTATCAACGCTCATGTGAACAAAAGCTACAAGCAGCCTCCATCTAAACATTAGCACAATCAGTCGAGAGGACCTTGGTGAGAACATGGTAGATGTAGGGGTACATAAGACCCTTCCTGTGTCTGTGTTCGGCCACCCGCAGGACCTCGGGGGCCACGGCGGGGAGAGGTGGGATGGTGATGTCCATGTGGTTCCTGGTGGGCATGGAGAGCAGGGAGGGGATCTGTGCATTCAGGCTGTGGAGACCACCGGCCTGTGATCCTGGACTGTCAGCAGAGGTTCCACAGAGGTCAGCCTGACGACAGAAGGAAGGTTTTAGCTAGTGCACAGACCTGCAGTTCCTCATCAGCCAAGTCACGCTGAACTCACGTTTGATTGGTCCCCCAGGTGTCCCTCTGGCGTGTTGTAGGAGTGTCCATTTTTCTGCCATCCTTCTTTAAGGTCATTGACGTGACTGGAACAGGAAGAAGAAAGCAAAGCTCTGTTACATGTACAGGTTGGAGATGGGCTTCAGAAACCTGGTATTAAACAGGCCCCAGGGCTCCATTATTAAATACCAGAGGATCAGTTAGCTCTGACATTAGCTCTGCTATCGGTGCTGGAGAAATTAAGAAAATTGATTTCCTATTAATTACTGCTACATGAACGTTATCTTGCACATTTAATCTAACCACCTCCGTTTCTCAGACATTCAAAGATGCAGTTTACCTTTTCCCAGACAGAAGTGAACACTGAAAGCGTGGCTACGCTTCACTGGAGTCTCTGCTGACAGTGTTCAGATTGACTGCGTTTCAGCCAATCTGAGGAAATGAGAAATGCCTCAACATGTAGCTCATTTCTCATTATTGCAGGTGTGTTATGTGTATTATCAGCCTGGAGCGTTCACACTGAGGAGAATAAACTATACAAGCATGGGTTAAAGACTTAAAGCAACCATTAGCCAGGTGATTTCTATTTTATTAGCTATAACTGAATCATAAAGTATGAACAGGTCAGAGCAGCTCTTCAGCTTCAGAGCACAGAACAGACGGATTCAGAGATTTGGAGGCTGCAGACAAACTCTTGTCTCGCTTTACTTTGACAATTTCTGAAACCGATTGTTGGTTTTAGCACTTTAGGAAGCTCCCTGTTTTCTAAAGTAAAACTGCTGCACAGTAAAAAATCAAAGAAAATATCTTCATATTTGTACCTAAAGTCATGAGTGGAAGCGTGAAGAAGCTAAATAACAAAGTGGAGATTCTGTTCTAAATTAGTTTAGTTTTCTTCTCTTAAAAAAAAGGACAAAAAAATGTACAGCGAAAGTATTTGATCATCAAAACTGATAGAATAGCAATACAGCTAGCTTAATGACACCCAGCATGAGGCAGGTTTTTGCAGTATGAATTCTGTTTTCCCCGAGTTAAAACTGACCGTTCATATCATACACTTGAAGGAGGAGTTTAATAATAAAGAAAGTGTGTTAAACGTCGTCCCTAAAGCCCTGGACAGCCTCACTGATCTCTGTCCCACCACACTACTGAACACAGCTGTGTTTTCTTCATCAGGTAGTTACTTGATATCCCTGATATGTGATGACCTGAGTGACCAGATGAGCAGAAACACCACTTCAGCTCCTCGTCTGGACGCTGCTGGTCGCAACACGCGTGTTCTGTATGTAGGAAAAAGGTTTCCAAGCTTCAAGTGCACACAGAGTGCAGTAAAGAGTGTAAGGTGGCATTCAGACACTACTAAAAAACTGTCCCTTTCCCTCGCTACGATGGGAACCTGTCCTGGCACAGCAAGTGTGTCCAGTCATAAACATCACCACGACACACACAAAGGCATCAGGATCCCGTTTTAAAGAGGCCATTTTCACTCACATCATGAGGAACAACCTGAACAAATGAGATGGGGAAAGACAACAGATGCAGATGCTTCCAAACAGGTAGTAAAATCAGGTATTAATACCGAGTATAACAATGCAGAGCTGAGTTTGTATCAAGATGGTGAGAATAAAAGCTCTCAAGCGCCTGTGAAAGAGGTTCACTGTGAATGGTGGGAGTCAGAACCTGGTCGACGGCACACATGTGATGAGCGTGATGCCTTCAGGGCAATAAGTAGGGAGGAACGGAGCAGCAGCTCTTCCCCTGGTGACCCACACCATCAGAGCAGGATGTGATCAGACTGAACAATCAGTCTGTGGGAGGCTCTGGTGGCTCCATTCACTCTATTTACTGCCATGTTTTGGTCCACTTGTACTCTTTAGAGGAAGCTGTTCTACCTTCATGATTTGTTTATTATGAACCATGAGTTGTCTCCTCTAGGATGGCAATGCCTCCATCTACAGGACACCAGAGGTCACCGGATGTTTGGTGAGGATGGAAACAATCATTTGCCTTTAGATCATTCCTTAAGTGTACGTCGTTTTTTTATAGGTGTGTTATTTATTGGTGTGCTAGCATGACATTTTTTACCCGTGCACATTGATAAATAGGCTAAAAGCTTAGGTTAATTAAAAGGTTAATTCTGAGTAATGTGGTTGAGTTTAAAATAAAACTTTATGCTTTTGGTTTTTAGTAAAAAGAAGTCATTGAAAAATTATCAGTAAATATCAACTAAAATAAAACATTAATCATAACAGACTTTTCATCCAGTCAGGATAAACACAGCTGTCACCTAATAAACGGTAAACCAGTGGCTCCCACTCAGGGTGAAGCTGCTGTAATAAACCATGTACAGAGATCGATCTTCACTGCACCATTTAATCACCCTACAGGCTTCACGTGTTCATCAAAGGCTCCCCAGAACATAACGAACCGATGACGTCTGAACCCATGAGAGCAGCGAGGGAGCCTCTTCATGAATGAATGGGTCCAGAAACAGAGAGAAACTCTGTCCAACTCACTTGGCAGTTGTGCCTGAGCTCTCCTCGTTCTCCGAGGAGGAGGACGTGGAGGAGGCGTTGAAGAAAGCCGCCTCTGTGTGGTCGGGGCTGCCGGCCCGGCCCGGGTTGATGGGAGACGACCTCTCGTACAACGGTGTGTGCTTCCCTTCGTGAGGAATGTCGCTGAAGCTGTTTTGCTCCGGGAGGCTTTTCTCCACCGAGTCTACGGACAGACTGCGCTCCGCCCGGGGCTCTGGGTACGAGTGCTGGACCTGAACACAGCGACAGGAAACAGGAAGTCATGAGCGCCTGCAGCAGTGCAACGCTGCGGCCTTTGCTGGATTTCAAACTCACCCCAGGTTTTACAGGCAGCTGTGGAATGTCGAGCGTTTTTGGTGATGGCACTGCAGCGCACACGTCCTCGTGTTTTGATCTGACTGTGAAACAAACACAAAACCTTCAGCACATCCAGATCATGAGTATGAGACGGCCATTTGTAGCCTTGTGTTTATGGCTCTGTGCTCGTTCATTTGCTCTTCCTCTCACTGGGACATAGCATTTTATTATTTCATCTGCTGTTGCTGCACTCTGAACATCTTCTACTCTATTCCTCCACTTTGTCCTCTCCAGTCTTTCTCCTTCTGATTGGACTGACCAGCTTTCTGTTGCTCGCTGTTCTTCCTGTTTTCTTTTTTTGCCATGTCTGCAAAGCACTTTGTAAACTCTGTGCTGTATAAATAAAGTTATTATTATCATTACTGTGCCAGTCTTTGCTGGATTGTGCTTCACATCAATACAAAAAGACTTTTGACACTTGGAGGTTAAAAAGTAACTCAACAAGTTCAAACGAAGTTAAACGAAATCATCTTGGACCCAAAGATGTCCACAGACATTTTCCATCTTCCCGGTGATGCTCTCTCAGACTTTTACTGCAGAAACTTTTAGCTCTTCTTGTTCTGGGTCTCCTGCCTGGGTCTGGGTCTGGTCCTCAGCAGGACTCGGCTGGACTGAGATCATTTGTTGAAAATGAATCTGAGCTCCCAGAATGCAGCTGTACATTCACCCCGCCGCGTCTGTCAGCAGTGAAATCGTGGATAAATGTTCCTGTTCCAGCTGCTTCTGTGTTTAATGGGCGACACTTTCTACATCATGTAAACCAGCTTCAAATTAAAGTTGTCCCTTTAATGTAGTGTCCATTATTTTATTGAACTGAATCAGCTGAAGTATGTAACTGTCCAGAAACAGAAAGATCTCTACAAAAACACCGATAACACTCACATGAACACAAAAACCTTCTGACATTTATGCTGCTTTGTGTAGACGTAGCGCGAGACTTTCCAATCAGGACACAGTGAAGTCGTATTTATTAGAGTAAGATGAGACAGAAACCCACCGAGCTGTGGAGGGAAGTGCGGCGGCTTGCTGGCTGCTGAGTAGTACTCCACCGCCTTTTTGAAGCGCATGATTTTGTCATTAGTGCAAGACTGAAAGGAAAAAGTAAAATTAGCACAAGTCAGAGGCAGGAGGCAGATCAGTGATCGGTCTGTGGATGGAAACAAAATGCTTCACGGAAAAATGGCCGAAAGCTAATTTCAGAGGTAACGTTGTTAAATATGATTTGTTAGTAAAGTTCTGAGCAGCGCGTCGTCCTGGTGGCTGTTGTTAAAACGTTTGTTGAGCCGAGCAGGTGTTACCAGTCCAGTAGTTTGCTTTCCAGTCACACATCTGTCAGCTGATTGGACTATTTATAGCACTGGGCACTCTGCATTAATTCTAGCTCAGTAATTATAATGAGCAGCTTCTCTACAAGTCGACTGTTCAGGTGTTTGCAGCACATCTTCTAACAGTAATGTGGAGCAATGAAACCTTAAAACAAGCCACGGAAACCTTGCATGAGCATTCATCTTTACTTGTCATACCTGCGAATGCTTGAAGATGTCCTTGGCGATGGCCTCCAGGTTGGTGATGTCTGGGATGTTGCGGACGTAGTCGGCCACAGCCTTGATGACCACGTCGCAGGGCGGGAGCACGAGCTGGTGGGCGCGAACCTGAGAGAGACCAGACGAGGAGATCGGTCCAAAAGGAAGTCAACGACAAAGTCTACTGTCGTCTTTAAAACAGAGGATTCATGTGCTGGCATGCTTTCAAACACAGCAGCTTGGATAAACTGGAGCTGCTGCTGGACTCCCAACAAGACAAAGAAGTGAAGCTCTCAGGTCTCTTCACCTGAACGCTGTCGTCCTCTCAGGTCATCAGGTAGCTGCTACCTGTTCCCAGAGTGCAAACTAAACACGGAGAGGCAGCAGGAACAACACCCTGAATCCGACCACCTTTAACTCTTTAACTTCTCCGTTAGGTTTGGATTCCTTTCATCTGAGTGGTGATGCTTAGAAGAAGAAGAACCTTCTGAAATATTAAGCTTCATAACAAATAGGTTGTGTTTAAATTCAGCAGGTTTTTTTCCTGTCAGAAAAGTGCTGGAAAGGTGTGAGTTTCGTTTCTATAACAACATCATCCTGGCGACGTGTCACCACTCCAGCCTCTGCTGGGCTGTGACTCCTGTCAAACACATCATGTAGCTCAGGACAGACAGAAAAAGGGCAGAACAAGCATCTCGTTCATCCTCCTGGTTGCCACGTATGATTGAATGCTTAAACCAAAAACACTGTGGCTCACGCTATGTGGACGCCGCTCATCCATTTGCGTGCACTTTAACTACACAAAGCGTGTTTCTAAAGCGCTGAGATTTGGTGAGTAGATTCAGAACTGGGTCAAGGTTCTGTTCAGTTCTGCTAAAGTCCCTAACAGGAAGGTTGTGTTGATGTTTGGGGTTTGACACCTACATAAAAAAGCACACAGAATAACAGCTGTAAAGCCACAGTGCAGGTCGCTGTTTACTGGCCTGAAACTTTTCTAATTCATGTGGCTGCTGCGGCTGGAGGCGTCGTTCTAACTTTGCTTCTATTGCAGAGAGGAAATGACGAGGCTCATAGAAATCAAGCCCAGCTCCTGGAATTATCATGCAGTGCCTTAAACACAAAAGCAGGGACAAACAAATACTGACATTCACGGACACTTTTCTCTGCTTTCACTCCAAATGCTAACCTGATATTTGTGAGGAAACGTTGTGGATTACATTCAAAACAAATGCACCATATGAAGAATCGTTCTAAACGGTCTCTTTATTCTCCAAACTCAAAGCCTGTACGTGCAGATTTTGCTCTGACTGCAGCCCGTTGACGGGAGGAAGGAACAAAACTTAAACTGCAGCACAAACACGTAAAGAAACATGCGTGTGGAGGATGTTTGGCCCGTCGAGCGCCACTCGCCGGTGGAATGCAATGCGTCAGTATGTGTGTAGCTGAGCCTCGGTGGCACATGTCAACCAGATGGCCTTCTGTTTAATCGCAGATAGTCATTTCAAAACTAGCAGCTGAGCCGTTTGCACACTGTGCCCTGGAACTGTCTGCCGCCGCTGCTGCCATGCAACTGTCACACTCGCACCATTCACCGATGCGTGGATGTGCTATTTCTGTGAGCCGCGTTCTGTCGGCCATTAAACTGTGGCAGCTGGTGGATAAGCTCCCAGCGTTCTCCCTGTTTACAGCTGCTGAAACTCAGGCAAACCAGCAGTTCAGTTCTTAAGTATTGATGCTCTCGAAACCTGCTTCAAAGCACATGAAAGCCACCAATGTCTGCAAACCAGCGAGCTCACTGCAAATCTTACAAGGTCAACAGCTACGTGGCTTTATTGCTTTATAGGTCTCTGTTATACTTTATAGCCAACAGGGGGGAAAAATCCATCCAGAAGGACTGAAGTTCATCCTGCTGAGACTCTGCTAGTCAATGTGTTGTATCTGTAGTCACCAGGGAAAGCTAAAGGACTCCTTCTACTTCCCCCTCTTACTATCCAGCTGACTGATCAGTAGGTTGCTCTGGAGCATGTTAACACAAACAGGACAGACCTCAGGATAAAAGCTGAGCCACATTTTTGAAACCAGGACAAACACAAAAATGGGATACTTGGATCATAACTGGGACAGTCGTGTCCACGTAAACACACTCACTGGTTCAGCTCGGGTCGAGTGCTACACAATGATGGAACAAAGCTCAGGGTACCGACCACAGCTTAGCAACATGTCCATCAAAATGGGTTCATGTTTGTTATCAGAACTCTCCTCTGTCGGCCCGAGGAAGCAGCTTAGCTCACAGTGTCAGCATTCAACGTGTAACTACCAACATCATGAATATATCCTGAAAGTCAGCTTTGTTTCTTATTTAGTCATCCATCCATCCATCCATCATCTATACACCGATTAATCCTCACCAGGGTCATGGGGGGCGGAGTCTATCCCAGCTGACTCAGGGTGAAGGCAGGTTCACCTGGACAGGTAACCAGTCTATCACAGGGCTACACTTAGAGACAGACAACCAAGCACACTCACATTCACACCTACGGACAATTTACAATCACCAATTAACCTCAGCATGTTTCTGGACTGTGGGAGGAAGCCGGAGAACCCGGAGAGAACCCACGCTGCACGGGGAGAACATGGAGACTCCACGCAGGAAGATCCCGGGTGTCCTCACCGGGATGTGAACCAGTGACCTTCTAGCTGTGAGGCAACAGTGCTAACCACTGCGCCACCTTGCAGCCCTTATTGAGTCATGTAATAGACAAATACAAAAAATAATCCAAGTTTTCATTGTCATTAAAGCTCCTACTATTAATTCACTACGATGCTGGAGGTGATATTTTCTGTCACTGGAGACATTTTACTGTTTTAACACCCTGAGTAGTAACCGACCTTGGTGCAGAAAAACTGTGGACTTCACCTTTAAAAACACTCAGTCCAGGATTCACCATGCAGGAGCAAAGTACTCACAGGTGACAACAATGTGTGTTGAACCGCTGCTGTTCATCAACAACACCGGTGGCAACTTAATTCTTCTATTTAGAATCAGCAGTGCGGTGAAGAAATCAGCATTTACCTTCAGTGATGCTAATGGATGCTCTGGACCGAGTAAGCTCCAGTGAAAGGCAGCCAAGTCTTCATCAGGCAGTATGTGATTCCCTGGAAAGCACACGACAGCGCAGCATGGATTAGTACAACTCTTTATTGGTACTGCACAACAACATCAAGCAGAGATCCTGTCAGTGCGGCGGCCTCCTTTTAAAGGACATGTGCAAATCACATGTGCAGGTGTATCTATGAAATCTGGTGTATGAAGAACTATAGAAACAGCAGCGTAGCTCCTGGATATTGCTGAACATGTATGAAAAAGTCTGGCTGTAAGTAGCAAAAATAACATATAAGGTGCAGCAGTATGTAGAAGTTGCAGGAGGCAGTCGGTGCAAAGGGGTAGATGTATTTCCTGATTCTGTACATGCAGCAGCAAGTTGATTAAATTAAATGGTTGGGTGGATGATGATGTTTAAGACACCAGCAGCTAGTGACAGTTTATTCTGCTCTTCCCCCAAAACAACTGCCAGAAAGTGTTCATGTGCTGATCTTATTAAAGCCGTATTACCCCATTTACATCCACCTACAGCTGCTTTATCTGGATCAGGTTCAGCTCCTCCTCGTCTGAACAATCACTTCAGTTCTTGTCGTGTCCGGTCACACCTACCTAAAAGCGATGCGAAAATGATGAAACGGTTTGGGCTGAGATCGAGCTGCCGTGCCACTCCGTGCATTAGGTACTGGCTGGTGGTGAGGCTTTTGCCGTTGCGGCTCAGTTTGAGGGCGTGGGCGCTGAAGTAATACGGGACGTTGCTCAGAGCGTAGTCCGAGTCGTAGGCCACCAGGCCGTGGAAGCCTCGCTCCCTGCATAAGGCTATCACTTCCAGGTGGTGGTCCTCCACGCTCTGGACAATCTGAAGAGGTGCACAGGCGACAACTAGGCTTTAGGAAAAGGCTCCAAATAAACCTGCTGTATGAAGGCACTCGAGTAAAGGAGACAGGATTAAAAACAAGCAGCTGTTTGCTTTGCAGTGAACAATCAAAACAAGAGACTAATAACAGAGGATGCACTGAAAATAGGAAAGTTCCTAAATGTAACTACATTACTACATGGATTTAGTTTTTGCATTCTAAAAACAATATGAAAGCTCCTGGTTCACATTTCATTTAAACTTTCTACTTTTTTTACATTTCAAATCCATACACCACATTTCAGGGACTCAATAGGAACATTTTTTGTGGGTCAATCATCCATCCATCATCTCTACACCTTAATCCTCACTATGGGGGGCGGAGCCTATCCCAGCTGACTCAGGGTGAAGGCAGGTTCACCTGGACAGGTAACCAGTCTATCACAGGGCTACACTTAGAGACAGACAACCAAGCACACTCACATTCACACCTACGGACAATTTACAATCACCAATTAACCTCAGCATGTTTCTGGACTGTGGGAGGAAGCCGGAGAACCCGGAGAGAACCCACGCTGCACGGGGAGAACATGGAGACTCCACGCAGGAAGATCCCGGGTGTCCTCACCGGGACCAGAACCAGAACCAGTGCTAACCACCGAACCACCTCGCAGCCCGTGAGTCAATCAGCCCAAACCCAATAGAAACAGTACATCCTATAAAGGCTGTGGACGGCTCACAGTTGTTCCCAAACACAGCTCGCTGTCATGACTGCTGCCCCGGTTCTTCTCCAGATCGAGGGATTGTGGTCATCTAGCCCATCAACTGACTCTCTTTGGAAGAACAGATGAGCCCTAATCCTCTGTCCTAAACAGAGGGGTAACTGGGATTGGGCCTAACGTGGCAGACTGGAGCATCCCTAACATCACACACTTCATCAACACGACTATAAACAGTTGTTTAGAACACTGTTGTCCTTCAGCTCTCCATGTGAAATAACATCATGTTAAAGCTGCTCTCAATAACATTTTGACTGTAGTAACAGAACCGTGGATACCTCACCCATCCTGCCACACCTGTACATGTGTACATTCATCATGTCATATGTGTACTATCATACGTTATCATATCTTTATTTTATACTTTTGGGCACTTAGATCTAAACAATACTATCAATATCATTGCAGCAGTACTTCTCAGTAGTTATTGGTTTACATTTAAATCCATGTGTAATATCTAATATTTCCATTTCTCATGTGTAATATTTCACTTTCACACACAGCATCGTCACTATGTGCAAATTTAGTTTTGTCCCATATTTCAGGTGCAATATGAGATTACCTTTTTATTTTTCATGATCATGTGTGATATTACCTATTATTCCTGTATAATTGCCAGCAGTACCTTTGACTGTTTCATTCTAGCCTCATTTCAGCTCATTCATCTTCTTGCTTTTACCTTTTTGGCTCTCTTATCTTTGTCATTTGTTATTTCTGAGCAGCATCTGGCACAGAAATGTAATACGGGATTAATAAAGGTTTATCTTATCCTATTTTAGGTTATCTTTTCTAATTCTTGTCCTGCTTCCTCCATCCCTCATCCAGCTGCTGTAACACGCACATTTCTACCCGCTGAGGGATCAATAAAGTTGATCTTATCTGTCATTCTAGCAGGCTGCCAAGTAAACCGCCTCCACCTGTCACATAATGGATCCTGGAGTCATGCAGACACTGAAAACTAAACTGTTTTTCAGTACTCTGCCATGATCAGGAGTGTTTGGGCTGCAAGTGACATGAGTCGGTCTTTATGATCCTAAAACCCAAAAGATGTTCAGTTTGCTCTCACATCTGGAATATGTTCACATTGAACAGGTTGGAATGAAGTTTGGGCTTTTTGTTTGTTTAAATCAAACCGGTTCACTCATTTCAACTCTGTTTTGATTTTCCACCATGATTTCTTCTTCTTTTCTAGCCCTCAGTGAGTCAGGTGTTTTTCCCTGCTGGGCTCAGGACCTGGCAACCCCCGGCCTCGTCCTAACCACCACACTGCACTACAGTTGCATGAAAACACGGATTCACAGCTCGGACTTGGTGTCACCAAACCACGGCGGGTGAGCTGCTGAGCAGGAGCCGGGTCCCCGCTCTGAGGCTCTGGTTCCCTCCGTGTGGATCCAGCGGTGCCGGGCGGGCAGCAGCTAGCAGGCTAACCGCGGAGGGAGCGTCTGCCGGCGGCGCTCCCACAGCGGGCTCCGCTCAACAGGCACCGGCAGGCCGATGCTTTCACTCACCCCGACGCGGAACCTGAGGAGCGCCAGTCGGATGCAGTGGGCCATGCACACCGGAGGGAGGAACCAGACCTTCGGCGGCGGGGTGCCCTTGTTCTGTACGTGGCTGATGATCTGCTGGGCGGTCTGCCGCTCGTTCACCTGCCGCTTGACCCACTCGTGAAGGCGGCCTTTCTCCAGGGCGCCATTGAAGCACACCAGGAGCTCAATGTTGCCGTTGAAGCAGGCCTTGGAGAGGGCGGCCAGGTAGCCCAGCATGTGGTTCCACTGGCCGCCGCTCACCCAGTCGTTGTAGAAGCCGCCGTAGAGCCGGTGGAGGCAGTTCTCGGCGTCCACCAGCAGCCTCAGCGGACCCTGAGGGGGTCTCTGCCGGCCACCTCCAACCATGCTCCCCCGGGCCAACCTCTGGAGCTCCACCGGCACCACGGCGGCGGGACAGTGCTTTTCAATGTACTCTTGGAAACCTTGGACCCCCATGTTGAGTTTCAGTTGGAACAGACGGAAACTTAAAGTAAAGAAAGCGAAGTATCAGCGGGCTGCGCTGCGCCTCTCTCCCCGCTGACAGGGACTGACAGCCGGCTGCTGGATGCGGACTGCAGGGCTGCAGGAGGCGGAACAGTCTGCAGAGAAACCAAAGAAGGCCGCTATTCAGACATGGTCACTTTGTTTAAGGCGCCTCGTTTCTTTTGCTTCATGGCTTGTGGCTGCCATGTGTCGGTTCACGGAGCCATGTCTGCGGCTGTGAGTCTGTCCGGAGCGACGCAGCGAGAGGGCGGCCCGTGACGTCAAGACGCACAGGCAGGCACGTTCCAACACGGAAGTGAGAACAGGAAGCGAGAGCCACTAGCTTCCGGTGTCTGCCAAATGGTGATCATCTCCGAAAAAACTGCCAAAAAAGTGATAATGTGCTCTTCTTGCCCCGTTTGTATCGATCTACAAAAGACACAGAGACTTAAAAACAAAAAACAAAAAATTAAAAAACACACAATAATAATAATAATAATAATTTTTATTTTTAGTATTTTATCCCTCCTATTATTTTCAAATTTACTGACATCGGTTATCCTTTGGGTAAAGTTGACCCCAGCAATTTAAACCTCCAGAAAATTCTCATTATTCAGATTGTTACCCAAAGTTTTGTTTAAATAGCCCCTGAAATAAAACTGAAAAAAAAATGTGTCAGTCATTTATTTAGAGATGTTAAACATTGAATGGGTTCAAATTCACCCCAAAGATAACAGGAGGGTTAAGGGGTGGGGGCCTGTGTGTCTTACGCATACTGTATAAAAATAAACCCTCACTGGGTAAAATAACCATTTAACAGCAGCTAAATACAGATTAAAGAAGCAGTACAAGAATTACAAAAGAACAATAAGGCTTTAAATAAGGATTCAGTCAAGGTGAATGTACAAGGCAGGATAAATTTACATCCAGATATGTTCATAAATGTCTTGGTGAATTTATGTATTGTTGTGTGTAGATATATAATGATTTTATATATACATACATACAGGTGTGGCGTGATGGATAATCAACATTGCTGTTGATGCAGATGAACCATTGTTGAAACGTTTTAACTCAATAATTGTGACCAAAGAAATATTGGTAATGCAATAAGGTCTGACATTTAGTGTGATCAGAGGCAGTACTTTATTAGTATTGTTTTGATGTTTGGTCTGTATGTGTTTGGTATGTCTGATGTTCTTCTTTAGACTGTAATCACTTTATTTCAAGAGGAAAAGTGAATTACATGAGCTAAGCTGCTCTATTAAAACTGTTCCAATGATTACATAATGAAATATTTCTATAAAATAAATGATTAAGACCCTCTAAACCGTTAACGAAGAGGCTTTCTGTTCCCTTTATCATTGATGTTAAGCTTTTATTTGTTGTTTTTATTTTTAGCTCTTGTGTGTGTGTGTGTGTGTGTGTGTGTGTGTTGACATCACCTTATTTAGCAGAACTCTTGAATCTTTATACTCAAGTCAGGGCTCTGAGGTCGACCAACCAGAATGCTCTTGAATGTCCAGACTCACAAACAGAGGTGACACAACATTCACATTCGCATTGCTCAATCGTAAGAAGAACATTTTTTGAGATCTCTCATGTTTTTTTCTTTAATGTCATCATTTCACTTTGATAAAATCACAAATGTTTCAGCAACTTCTAGCATTTGCTGTAGATGATGCTGATGTTAAAATGTGTAAATTAAACTCTTGGATTGTGCTACAGTCTTCATCACAGCCGATGAAACAAATGCTGAAGGACCGACTGTGTTGAGCTTCAGAAGCTCAATGACTGAACAGTGCTTGGTGAAGACTTGATGTGAACACTCTTGACACTTGGAGTCTTTGAGCTTTGAGGGTTTTGCTTCCTGACTTGAGGTGGGTCAAAGTGGATTCAGGTCTTATCTCCAGACTTCCAATTAAATGACTTTCAATATTCAAAAGCTCAGCAGAACGTGTGAGTAAGCTGTCCGGCCATTTCAATAAACAGGCACTGCAACGTTCAACAGTTTTTCTGAGAAGGGCAGTCACTGCTTCTTCACACGCTTTTTATGCTGTTCAGTGAGACAGTGTGTCTGCTGTCACCGCACAACGCTCACGTACACATCATTTCACAACAGGTCTTGGTGTTGTTGCTTCACAAAGCCTTGAGGTTTGACCTCAACAGTCGACAAGATTTCCTCTTGTGGCAGTCGAGAATAAAAATTCTTATACTTAAATTTATCAGAGGCAGAGAACATACAGCTCTGCATGCTGTTAATAATGTGATCTGACATAAATATTACAATATATGAGTTGAATTTGCTTCAGAGTGAATAAGCTGCAAAAACGCTGTGACTGAAGTCATTCTCAGTCAGCGCTGATAGAGGGCAGCAACAAGTCAGTTACTAGAATTCCTCAACATCTTCACCAGCAAGACTGAAGGAGCAACACAGAGCTGCTTCCTTCAGCCAAGAGAACACACTCCAGCATTAACAACCAGTGTTCACCGCCTGTATGGTGTATTTCCCCCCTCACAAGCACTAAATGCAGTCAGTTTACAATATCTGATTACTGGACATGCACACAGAGAACCTGAGAGCTTTAAGGGTTCCTAATGTCCAACCTCGGGTCCTAGAGTCTGAATCATTCTACAGAAATTCTCTCACGAATGTGTCTTAATATGGTAATTATATGTGTTGTTTCTTAATCTACATGTGTTGTAAGTTTCAGACCACATTTTGACATTTTGCAATCATTTACAAGTTTTATCAAGACTTTTAAAAGCATAGGTTGCATTAAACAGAGCTTCCTATACTTACACCTATTCTATATACCAGCCTGTCTGAAAAAGCCTAGAAGAAGTCTTGAAGGAGGTATTTGATTGTGGAAAAGCTTACGTTTTTAGACAAATTATCCAGAAAAAATATCTGCTTTTTCCCCTTTTTCTCAGGCAACCAAAACCAAATCAAAGGTTTAAAATACAGACTTTGAAAGACTGATACCTGGTCACTAAAAAAGACAGTGAGATCATTGGTCTCACTTTAACACCCTGTTTTCAGTGGTTGTCTGTCAGAACTGCAGTAAAACTTGCAGCCATTCATTTCACAGGACGACTGTCAAAGTGCCTTTTAAAAAGATTTTAGTTCTGCACTGTGAATATTGCACTAGGATTGTTTCAGTGATGGGATTTTGTTTTCAGGAGACGATCGATAGATGCTACTAGCAGTCTGAAAGGTAAAGTGCTACGTGACGCTTTCCGCCTGGTTCCTGTTCGTGTACTGATATGACCACCGGCCTTTGACTTTCCTGTTCAGTGGAAACAATCTTTTTCACTGTCATGAGCAAAAACACAACAATCACAGCCCTAAAGGCAAACTCAAGCATTTTACCATCACACTTTTATAAAGTTTAGAAACTCACATCATGCAGACTTTCTAAAATAAAAAAAGAAGATGAAGCTGATTTTCTGTCCAGAATTCCACAGATGTGTGTACATTCAAGATTCATCGTAAGACTTGACGGATGTGTGACTTCTGTGGATACTGAGGCTAAGCTAGCTGCTGCTGGAGGGTCAGTAAATCCTCCAGATTGTTGGGCCTCTTGCTTGTGGCTCCATAAAAGATGCAACGTGTGAATGTGGAGGATTTAACCCTTTATGTGGCCAGTGACCATATTTGGTAACTTCCTCAGATGTTCAGTACGTCCACCTCGTGTCCTCCTCCAGGTTGAGGAACTATGTGCACTTTGATTTAGTTTTAATATTAGTGCCAATATCACTACCTTATGAAAAATGCCCCTAAACAAATGTTCCAGGCACTTTATAAACACTTTGTTACTGGTTTGTATTAAACTTCACTTCGATGTATTTTTTGAGATTAGTGCCACTAAAATCACTCCCCCAAGAAAAATGTGACTGGATGAACTTGCCGAGCACTTTATAAATACCTTGTCACTGGTTGTGTTAATATAATTACCTCAAACTAAAATGCTTCTAAATAAATAATTTTGTTCACAGTTTATTACTTTTTCCTTCATTTATTATAAATTCCATTTTTTTTTAAACCATAGACGGGCAGGTTACCATATGTGGTAAATTTATTAATATTGATTTGTAGCATTTAAAAAAAATTAAAAAAATCAGTCACAAAGTAAATATATCTTGAAATATCCTTCAATAACACCCTACAGTTGAAATTTTCATTTTCCAGGTATTTCAAGGAGCAGCCTATAAACGGTTAAAGGCACCTGGTGGAGCTGGGGTGAGACAGGAAAGTAAAACACAGAGTAATGGAACATGTGTCTATTGGGCCTAATAACTAGTTTAACTAATTTGCCCAAGACTTGCTGATAACAGTGACACTGGGAGCAGGTCTTGGTTTGGTGTAGATGAGGCCCACCATGTTTAGTGTGAACCCAGTCAGGACTAAAACAGTGAACGTCCTCATAGTGAGACATGGAGGTGAAAGTGTGATGATATGAGGCTGCATGAGCACAAAAAGTGTTGGGGAGATGACATCTATAGATGATGCTATTGATGCTTGTGGATAATACTGGATGACAACATGGCTGTTATTTTGTAGAAGCCTGGGAGAAGAGGAATATTCCAGCATGACAACAATCCAGAGCGCACCGCCAAAGTAGATCACCTGACTTGAATCCCATAGAGCACCTTTGGGGTATTTCACAGAGAAGGGTGGACCAACACAACCCCTCCAGCAAAGAGCACCTGATCTGTATTATGAATATAGTAAAACTAAACGAATAGTGACGTCAAACCTCCATCCTGCTGTTCAGCTCAGAAGCAGTGCAGTTCCTGTAGGGTGGTACATTTTAAAAACAGTTGACTTTTAAGTGATTTTGCGACGGGGTGTACTCACAAACGTTGTATATTGTTGTCATCTTTTCCACAGGAGTCACTCCTATTTTCTTTATGTATGCAGCAGGTAGATGATCAACAATACACAGTTTTTAATGTTAATATCAATAAAAATCAAACATGTGCTGTCCTCAGTCTTTTCTCAAGTAAAGTTTGGGAATGCATTACACATTTTTAAGGATATTTACATGAATATTCACAAACAGTAGACGGTATCAAACTACTACCCGGAGAATTCTTACACAGTCAAGTAAAAAACAACAAAAGAAATCCACATGACAAACAATACTCAAAGAACATGACTTTGCTGTACATTATATTAAACAAATTATATTTCATACTTAAATCGCATTTTGAAATCGTCTTGATTACAGCATCCTAAATGTGCAATTTATTTCAGAACTCCATGACTTTGGTACAAATGCAACGACTGTTTGAATTCTTCTGCCCGTCCCAGCGGCTTTTCTATCATCCTTCATATTTTAAACAACATTTAGCAAAAAAACAACAGCTTAGCAAAGCCTGAACAACAAACTTATGAAATTATTTTAAAAAGAAAAAGCTACATGACTGATGAATAAAACATTTTGTTTTGCTTTGCGCTCTCAAAGGTCAAGCGATATCCGAAAGTGCTGTGCTCTTTGGGCCAGTTCCTTTGCAAACTCCTGAGCCTCGTACAGAGATTGCTTATCCGGAAAGTGCAGCGCTGCCTTCTTGGTGGCCACAGCCAGCTGCTTCAGGAGAGCACACAGGTGGTTGCTCTTACACAGGAGGCTTTGGCTGGACCCTCCACGATGGGCCTCCCTGCACAGGGTGTCCACCAGCCTCTGGCCCACCATGATCACCAGCTTACTTTGCGAGATGAACTGTTCTGGGGGTTGGCCATCCTGAAGGCTGCCCACAAATCCCCCGATGGCTTTTTGGAGAGCACCGAAATAAAGTCGACAGTGCTCTGACAGGGACGATGATCGCTGTTCTTCTGTGCCACTGCCAGAGTCGGAGGAGTGGCGCTTGTTCTCAGCCTGGACAAGAGAGAAACAGAACATGTCATGAACTCTGCTTCTGAAAGCAGGAAAGTCTTCAATCCTGGCTTGTAAAATTGCTGATGGTTATAAAAAATAAAAAGAATCTAAATTTCCAAGACACGAATGAGTCGCTTTGTTGTGCTTTGACCAATAAGGATCCAGGTTGTGATTCTGGAGTTTAGATAGTTATATTATATCTGGATAGTTTTCTCTTGTCCTGTACAAAAGCTTAAAGTGACCAGGACCGGCTGGGATGCTGCTGTGTGGACCGGCGGACCGGCTACTTAATATTTCAGTACGCACACAGTTTTTTACTAAGTTTGACAGAAGAAAGTGTTTTGGATTATTATTGCTGACTTTACCTTTAAGTATGAACGAATGCTTTGTCTCAACAGGACACACTCACCTGTGCTATGTTAGAGGCTGGTGTGATGTTTTCTTTTGCCTCCTTCTGCCCGTCCTTCTGCTCACTTTCTTCATCCTTTGTCTTAATTAAAGCCAAAAGCAGAAGCATTATATTTACAGGTACGCATTAGGTTTCCTTTGGCTTTAGCTCATCAGGTAGCTACTATATGAACCTTTCTGTTTTTAGGAAGATTAGAAATTCTCACCTGAAGCTCTACATAGTCATTGTCATCCTCCAAGTCCCCTCCTTGTTCAGTTTCTTCAGGACTCCTCTTTGTCTCTGAAGGACTTACGGTGTTACCGGACTCTGGATCTTTCTGAGGAGCTCTGAATAGAAGCTTGCCGTTTGCGTTGATGATGGACACCAGTCGCTTGACGTCCTCTGGAATAGTGCGTGCCACCATGACGAAGCGCTCCAGTTGGTCAGGTGTCTGGATCTGGCCCGGGTCCTGACAGAGGGAGCTGAGTGGCCAGCCAGCCATGTTCAGAGCACTCACTGTCTGCTGTAGGATCACACCAGAGTCCTCTATGATGGACAGCTGCTTATAGAGTCTGGTCTGCAGGTTGGTGTCGGTCAAACGGCGGGCGTTGCCCTTAACATCCAAGGCAAAGTTTAGAAAGCATGTCAGAGAACATGAAATCCCCTCTGCGGCTTCTTTGATCTCCTTGAGGTGTTTCTCGAGATGTTCTTTGCACCTCCAGTGACTGCTGACAAAGTCCATGAGTTGAGGCACAGCCTTGCAAACAGACTCCTGCAGGCCCAGAAGTTTGCGGCAGGCCTCATCCTGACTGAGCGTTAGTTCTCGTAGAGGCTCGGGAGAAGACGAGCTCAGCGCCAGAGAGTCGCAGGAGCTGGTGGAGGAGCTGGAGGCTGTGCTGATTCTTTGACTGTCTGCTGAAGTGAGAAGTGAGGCTTTAGCTTGCTCATCCTCCTGCACCGATGACCCCACACTTCCTGGAAGTTCATGGAAGGATGTACAGGCCAGAAAGTTCCTCATCCGCTTCAGACGCACATTTTTGAGTTCATAAATACTTTTTGGGGCACCTCTGCACTCTAGGGGTTTATGATCACTGGGGGGATCACTGACAACTTGTGTAGCGGGTTCCTCTTTGGGTGGAACGGCATACACCAACTCCTCTGTTTGACTCTGAGGTGGGGGCTTGTTGTGAAGTGGGACCCTTGGTAACACTCTGGGTGGACTTGGGATGTCAAGACAACTGGATTTTGGTATATCATAAAGTGAGGAAGTTGGACTGTCTCTTTGAACGGGCAAAGCATGTGCTGGGAGAGTGTCATAGAGCTGCCTGCAAATGGCTTTGGATGGCATTGTATCATAGGAGCCTTGGCCTGGACTTAGTTTCTCAGGACCCACGGGCACATCGTAGATCCACTCGGGCTTGCGAGGGTTGGGAAGGGTGCAGTATCCCCCGATGCTCTTCTGCTGGGATTCGGTGGATGAGGGGACTGGGATGTCGTAGTTTGGGTCCTGTGGCAGAGGTGGTGGAACTGCATAGACCTGTAAGCAGGGACAACGCTGTCAGTACAGCAGTTATGCAGAAAGAAATGTCTTCAAGAAGGAGGCAGACATTCTTTGCCACTTAGTGGAAAGTAAAGGTCTCAGTTTGTTTTAAACCAAGTGCTTATTGGATCATCTAAGAGAGTTTACTATGAGCTACCTACAGCTGAGTAAAACCCCACGAGTGCCTCTAAGAAGAGACACAGTGAGCTCCACTGGTATGACTCACAGCCTCGACTATTAAGTAAAGACAACAAGTTCTTAGAGAGAAAACAGGGAGGAGAGTGTAAAAACATTTTCCTTAAAAAGTCATCTCACGTCATGTTTCCTGTACCTGTTTATTTCCATCACACTGAACCCTTTGCAGAAATAAAATTAGAAGCAAAAGTACTAAGAGAGAGACTGCATTTCACAGTGAATACATCATAGATGCCGAAGATATTCATTAATCCCTCAAAACATCTGAAACTCACATAAGAGTCTCCTGGACTGCTGCACCTTATACTCTCCAGAGAGTCAAATCTCTTCTCCAGCTCCGAAATTGGAATCAGCGAGTGTTTTTTTGACATTTGTTTGGGAGTTGGTATTTCCTGCAAAAAGAAGATGAAAAAACAGTGAAGACATCAGACCAACAGCTCCTCTGGTGGCCGTATATCCACAAATGGTCTCAAATTGATTAATGCGTGTGCTCACGGTGAACAGAGAAGCTCGTCTTGCTTGGCTCGGGACATCGTAGACCTCCCTTTTTGGACTGGATGCCATGTTGAAGAAACAAAGCTGCAGACAAGAGAGACAGGCTGTGATATTAGGGGCTGACTGGCTGTGCTGCTTTGATCAAAGCTGCATCTACCTCACTGACCTACGCATGAACACGTTTATGGAGACAGTGTTTGCTCTGAAGCCTGTTGAGAGGGCCGGAGAAGCCCATTATGCATGCACTTTGCCAATTAACGCAGTTCTATAATAGAAACCATACTGCTCAATGAGTATTAGGTGGCTACTGCAGAAAGGAACAGGACTCCCCTGGAGCAGGAGAGGAAATGGTGAACATGTGGGTATATTTCTCCCCACGTTTTGCTGCACAGGCACCCGTACAGACACTTCTGTCTTTCTGGGGTCCCTGGCGGCATGGGCTGCTGTTTGCAGTTAAAAGTGTCTGAAGTCTGTGTCTGTTTGTCTTTTACAGGCCCATAAAGAGCTCGGTGCTGCATGCCTGTCCCCATGGAGAGGCCCCTGGTCCCCATCTGCAAGCTCTTTTGCCAGCAGGAGTTTCACAGCATTGCATTTCTGCAGCAGTCTACCTCTCTAATCATGAGAGTTAACACTTCCCAAGAAGGAAGGCCAACTTTGACCTCAAAGCAAGAGGCCAACTAACATCTACCTTCAGCCTTTTTAAAAAATAATCACAAATTTATCCTTTGAAAAAGATGTATGTACCTTGTTCCCGTCAGGTCCTTCTGCGCCGTGCTGAAGTGCTGATGGGATTGGACTTTTTGAAGCTGATAAAGGAGTGGACGGGACCTTGTAGATCAGGTCCATGCGCTCATAAGCAGGGCTACTGGTGGGTCGGGGTACGCTTGGGATCTGGTAGATGTTCTGCACACCTTCACCAGCTTCAGCATGAGTTAACTTGGGTTTCTCTGTCACATGGCTTAAGGAGCCTGCAGTGAGTCCACCCTGGGGTAGGAGCTTCAGTCTGTTTGCAGGGGCCAGGCCATGGCGTCCATACAGAGAGCACATCCACCAGCCGCTGGTGCCGGCCACATTTTGATGCATCACCGTGACGATGTCGCCCTTTCTGAAGGCGAGCTCATCTGGACACTCGGCCGTGTTGTCATACAGAGCTTTGGCTAGTTTGTTCTGAAATAGAGAAGAGAAAAAGTTGAAATCATTTAGTAACCAGCCCACTGTGGACAGGCAGTGTGTGACGCTGACAAAACACAACATCTCATCACATTTCCTCTTGCAAGATGTGGCTTCAGGTTGCACATGTGAGTCTGGACAGGCATTTCACAGCTCACAATGAACATGACTTCACCGTCAAACAAGAATTTCTGTCGAATTACAGAACCGTTCCTTGTAAGCTAAATACAAAAACCAACCTGATACAGAAGTTTTGTCAATCTCGAGTCAATTCAATCAAAAATATCTAGATTTGATTTTCAGATAATTTTAGAACTTACAACCACTAGTTGTCTGATTTGAGGTGTTTTCACTTCAAACTAAATTAAATTAAAATGAAATCAGGTTGTTAAAGAAACTGAGCTGACAGCAGTCTGGAGACACTTTAAGAAACCAGTCACAATTAAAACTTGTGCATCATTTAAATCGTGTTGGATCCTGTTTGTTTCTTTGCATCATAACGACAGCAGTAAACCCATGAGGTCAGATTCATGCCCTATCCCTGTACAGCCTTTTTAAAACAAGGAAGCGTGGCGCTGTCTGACTTATAAAATGGTTTCAGCCCCGTCAAATAAAGAACCGACTGATTAAATATGAAAACGCAGACAAAAGGTCTGTCTGGAGCAGCTGATTCAGGTTCACATCTTCAGCTGACTGCACCTGTTCAGGTAACAACAAGTTTGCATTTTTAAGGCAGCAGCAGAACTTTGTGTGTTCTTGAAGCTGACTAAAGCCACAATGATTTACAGCGTAGTTGTCACGGAGCTCTTTCCTTTTTTCTTACACTGAATGTATGTTTTTATATATAAATATAGATATCGCTGTGTATTTTCACTTCTTGTTTGTGCTTCCTAAAAGAGATAAATGAAAAACAAGTTTCTTCACAGCTTCCTCTTGCTGGCCTGCAAGTATCCTATCCTATTTCAATGAGTAAATGAAACCTCATGTCATGTTCTGAATGCCGGTTGTACCCGACAGAATGACCTTCTACACCTCCTGCCATGTGCTCGGAGCATCTCAACCATCATCAGTTGGTCCTGCTCTGCTCTGAATGTGACAAATCTAAGCTTGATGAGGCCTCCTGCAATGAGTTTCCTGTATTGAGTGTTGGTCTCTTTGCTCTTTGCTGCGGCTGCTCGCTTTGTGTGCCATGATGAGCACAAAGGCGTATCTAACTGACACAGATCTCTAAACCAAAACCGCTGGCCAGAGCAGAAACAGGCAGCGTGTGGTGTGCAGGCCCACTCACTGCAGCAGGAGCTCGTTTTAACACTTTTTTGTCGTCACTCTGACCACAGAACAGTGACTAATAAATGTGTGAAATTAGTCAGAGGACCGCTAAACCTTAGAAAAGCTTCACCCTACAACACGCTAAAGGTTCTTGGAGCAAAACCAGAATCAAAATAAAATATGACCGGACAATATTTGATGTGTTTTTCCTCATAAGCTTTGATATGTGTTTTATTTTTATGGTGAGGTTATTTAGGGAACCTTTAAATTACAGAAGAACAAATGAGAGAAACTAAACAAATAGCATCACTTTCTATATATTTTAGCATTTTTAGGGGTAAGTATTTTACACATTCTGCATATTTACTGTTCCCTGTTTGAATTCATGCAAAACCTACAATCTGAAAGGATATTTTTAGCGTTAATATCAATAGTTGTTACCAGTATGGTGCAGAAGAACTGGACCAGCCTGCACAGACATATTTGTTCATTGTTTACACCTTATACTGATATTTTTATATGCCAATATATATATATTTTTAACTTATGTTTATATTTTTAGGACTTGTGCACTCTGAACGGGAGCAGCTGTAACATCAGTAATTTCCCCGTCAGGGATCAATAAAGTATTTCTGAGTCTGATCTCTGGAGCTGCAGACCTTCCCATCGGTTGCTGGCTTTCTCCAATGTTCTAAAAAATGTCATGGACAGCTTCCAGAGGACCAGGACTGTTGTAGCAGCACATTAATGGCACATGTCGCTCAGATGTCCACATACTTCTGGACGAGTCTTGGCCCTGAAATATTTGTACGCCTCCATTACTGAACTTTAAGCGCACGATTAAGAAGAAGAAGAGAAACTGTTGGAGATAATGGCACACACAGTGGAGTAAACAAACACACCCCCTCACACTCGGCCCTCTCCTCTCAGGCTGAATCCTGTTTCCAACAAAGAGCCCATTCACCATCAGAGAGCAGCACGCTCAGCACCTGTCGGGATGCAGGCCTGTGCAGCACACACACACTTCCCCCTCAACACACACACCAAGCGTCAGCAAACTGCCTGCCTAATCCTCGGGGTCATGCTACAGACATGCAAGTGAAATACGTCGGGTCAGATGACAGTCAGCGACCGTGCCACTGAGATTTACTTTGTACTTTCTCCTTGGGATCATCTGCTGTACGATATCCAGCGACCGCACTGGCAGCTGACCGCCTTCATCGCTGCAAACTCTCCATGTTGAATTTTTAGATGCGTGAGTTTCGCAAACGTCACTGAAACCACAATCTATTGTGTGACCCCATTACTATGATCAAAACGTACACATAGTTCATGTCCAATCCACCAGCCGTAGCGTGTGAAGCTATCAGCATTCAGGCCACCAGATTTCCCCTAAATGACCAAATTTCCCTTCGTGGGTGAATCAAGTATTTCTATTCTAAACACAAGCCTCCTCCTCCTCCTCACCTTGCGCTGAGCTTTTCTACTCCTGTTTCTGCGTGTTGAGTTTACAGTAACAGAGGGATTCAGCTGTGACTCTTTTGGATTCCTGCACACGCCTGCTTGTGCAGATCAGCTCCACGGACAGCTGGCCTTCAGCACAGCTGCCTCCGTCTCTCCCTCGCCTCTGCCTCCGTCCTGTTCACAAATTAACATCGCAGCGTCGGACGCAACGCAAGAAGTGCTTCTAAAAGTCAGGGATGGGAGCTTCTGTTCAGGCAAACGAGCCACATCGCGAGCTTTCTGTCAGAGGACAAAAAAACGTCTGTTGTTTGTATCATACACTGCTGGTTTGAAAACAGAGAAAGATCGATTGTTAAGCTCAGCGTCCTTAATTAAAAACATGAAACAAAAGTGAAGAAATAACAACTGAAATTCAGAAATTGCTGCTGATGAAACGATGAAACGATGAAACGATGAAACGATGAGATACAATCAGTTATGAAATAGTGTCTCGAAGAAAGACAGCGTTCGTGTGTTTGAGTGTTTCTATCAGTGTAATTATAGATTTATTTGGTTTTATAGAGGGCTGGAACAAGCTGATGCTCTCAGAAAGTGAGGGATATGATGATTTTAACAACCATACAGCGTTTAAAACTCCACAGTTGCAAGGTCAAGGGGAAAGGAAAGAAGTGAACTGTATTTAAAGGGTTGAAGTGAAGCTACAGGACGTCAGATGGTGGATGTTTAAACCAAACTATTTAATGATGCTGCAGCTGCCAGTTATTTCCATCACAGCTCAGTCTGTTGATTCTTGTCTCCATTGATGGATGAATTGTTTTGTAGCTTTCTCTTCCTCAGTCTGATATCTACATGTTTGTAAAATCCCTTCACTACAGGAAACAACAACCAGTTGTACAGAAGTTATAAAAGTTCTGTATCAGAGTGATAATAAGGTTCAGCAGATCAGTCTCCACGTCACCGCATTACAGGATGGTCGACTTAACAAGAGCATCAGGGCAGTGAAATGTCTCGGCTTTTAACGAGGTAACTTCTGTCCAAAGCTGGCTAACATTAGCCGATATATGGCAGCAGTCACACCACAACACCACAGCCTGTAGCAGCAAAACTCGTTCCAACATAGGAATAAGAAGAACATGCACGAAGGCGCATTAGATTGCTTTTGAGTTTAACTTTACGTGTTAAAAAAGGAAAGAAGACAGGAGTGTGTGACTTCTTTGTGAGATGATTGATCAGAGTCTATCCGGAGCGCATTCATAATAGAACTACTCATTTCTGGAGTTTGTCATCACACACTGTGGAGTGACTATTCAGCCGTCACTGACGTGCGTTCACCAGGTGTTTCATAAGCATGTAAAGAATGGAAGTCCCTGTTTATGAAAGAGTGATGCTGCGACCTAACTGCGATCCTTTTCCGTGTATAACGGGATCACCTGCAGAGACATCAACTGTCCAATCCCAGAGAGTGGGTGGAACAGGAAGAGGTTCCCAGTGTGGGAACGACACCCTCTTGGTTCACTCTGACCCTTTGGTCCCTGACATCAGGTCACGACCTCCGGGGCAGGTCAGCGCTCCATCCATTATAAGCCCAGACACATGCCAGACCCGGGACGACACCCACGGAGGTGGTGAACAAATCTGTCACACACGACCACAACTTCACTAAAATGTAGAAAAAGGCTCATTTTCCCAGGCAGAGCGGTGGGAGAGGACTGCTCAGGATGAGTCACCAACATAGCTGAGATCTACTCCTCTCTTGGATCTGGACAGGAAGTCAGCCTGTAAATATGACATATTAGACTTTCCCACAGATTCATAGGAGGAGGGGGGTGTGGTGACGAGGACAGACGAGGACAGACGGACAAACTGGAGCGACGTCTTGGTATCCCTGTAAATCATCGTCTGACATGTCAGGAATTTGTTCCTTCTCCATCAGTTCTTTCACCTTAAATGATTCTCAGATGTGGTGCACGGTGGAAAATCACCTGCATCAACTGTGTCTCCAACCAAAACAACTTCAGCAGACGGACTCAGTGACACTGACTCGCTGCAGCTGCCCTGGTATTTCCTGTACGGGAACTGGTGAGAACTATGTCAAAATCTCACAGACACACAACCGACGAAAACTTCCAAGAAGCTTTTAGTGGACAATTAACATTCCACATGGAGGACTAATCATCTCACAACAACATAAGCCTAAACAAGCAGTATAGGTTTAGCATGTTTCACCACTGAACACAGAACTGCTGTTAATCTCCGGCTGTGTTCTGTTGTTCAGATTTCATGTACGGTTCTGTTAAAACTGACAGCTCCTGCCGGTCAGCTGATTTGGGAGGAAGTGAACACACGGGGGGCAAAGGAGGTGAAGTAGTGAACTTCTTACAGCACAGACGGTACAATGAGGGAACACGATGCAGGGAATCTGCTTTTTAAGTTGACTTTTCTGAAAGATGTGGTTCGAGCTCAAAGTGAGGATCGAACATTTCTGAAAAGCCGAACAAATAAACATCCCGTCTGGCAGGTCGACACACTCTGGGCTGATTTCTCCTCCAGCTTCATGTGCTGTGGTTCTTTAAGTTTGTAGTGGGTTCACGTTAAAAACAATAAAAATAAATCAGAGATAAACATTTGAATGGTTTATGACAAAAGTAAGACGAGAACCAAAACACTTTGTGATCCTGCATCTTTACCAGATTTACCAGATGGGTCGCCATGGTACCGCCCCACTGACTGCACAGTCTGGGAAAGTCAGAGCATCCTTTAACGCTGACGCTGTGATACGTAGAACGGTCTGCTGCACCTCATTAACATGCTGCTAGAGGGGGAAAGATTCTGCAGTGTTTGTATATCATTATATGGGGAGGCTTTAATTCAGATACGGGCCTGATGTCACTGTTAAACAAGACTGAAGATCCTAAACTCTCTTTAAAAAGTTCAGCATGTTTCAGCTTCAGGATCAAACACGTACGGATCCATCTGAGAAGTTGACATTTTGGCCAATCAGAGCAGATTATTTTTGAAGGAGCTTAAAGAGACAGAAGCTAACAGAAGCTAACAGAAGCTAACAGAAGCTAATACGGTTTGAAACTGAGGCAGAGAGTTTGCACATGAATTCTGTGTATGATCAATACGGTATTTTTGGAAACATAAATCATGCAAAGAAATTTCAGCAAAGCCCCAGAATTTAAACATAGACTCAGAAAAGTAAAAGATTGATCCCCTTTACAGGAAGAGAATGTGATGTACAGTGAACACAGGATGAATATCAGTGATGTTCAGCATCCTCAGTCCTGGAGTGAATACCAGCATAGAGGAGACATAACATTTGTCTACAGCATAAGCTGCAGATTTCACTAATGGTGACACTTTAGAATGGACAAATCTTAGCTGATTTTGGCTTCATGAGTACAAATAGGATGAAGGGCACGACTGTGAGCATCAGTCATTTCCTAGACAGTCTGTCAGAGCAGCAGTGGAGGACAGGCTGGACGAAGTGAGGAGCAGCGCTGCAGATAACAGGCCGGCTGCAGACTCGCTCTTCCCTGACAGGAACTTATCTCACTGCTTGCATTGTGGTTTTATTTATACTCACACTTCCTCACACTCATCGTCTGCCTTTAGTCACAGTGAACATATTCACCAAATGCTCATGTTGCTCTGTTGCAGTGGGCACGGTGGTGGGAGACACTGGGAGGTTTGGTTTGGCTTATCGGTCTGTTTCTAATGGTGATGACAACACCCAGTTAGTTTGTGCATATTTGATTCAGCTTCATATAACAAACATGGTGTCAGAATGGAACTAGATGTGCTCTATGAAACATCTGAAGACTGCAAACAGATGAGAGAAATCCCACCATCCATCTGTATTTAAAGCATTTTAGAGTTCTGCACCGTAGAGTCCGTTTGTGAGTGTTTTGACTGCTTGTGTAAGAAAAGGGAAGTTGAAGACAACTTCATATTTTAGGCCTTCATTGTATAGTTCTGCTCAGTTTTGACCAAAGTGTAAAGAATTCCTGTCAAGGTTCCCTCAGAGTAAGTGTCTATATGTATTTTTAAACTACAGATCTGTTAGAGTGTCTAAATAGCCGATGTCACATGAATACATGTAAATAAAAACACACATAAAACACGGCCTGTACAGCTTCACCATGTCCTTGATCTGATCCACACTGGTAGATCTATATATATATATATATATATGGGCCACATTTGACCCAAACAGCCTCAATGTACAACAACGTGCAGCTCTTGTACAAACGTGTGACATTTTTAAATATTTTCATTTTTGTGTATTTTGGGTCACTTTAGGAGAAGCCATCAAATTTCAAGCTAAAAGACGTTTAGAGTTTTTTTGTTTTTTTTTTTACAGCCGTCAATCGTCAGAATGGGTCAAATTTCACCCAAAACAGTTTGTAAAGGTTAACCATCTCCATGGCAACTGATGAAAGAAGACCACAAGACGTAGCTGAAATCACAGGCCGTATGTTGCTGCTGCCGTTTTCTCACCATCAGCCATATTGTAACATCCTCAGGTGTCGCCATCGTCTCTGTTTACGTTGTTCACGAGTAAGACTGCGTCTTCAGCCGGGGATCAGTAACTACTAACTACATCCTGCAATCTGCTCCTAGGAAGTTTACTCGGGCTTTCATTCGCAGAAAGAAACCGAAAAAGTAAAGCTGTGAAACCAAAACGATGTCGGAAGACAAAAATCCCCTCAGACACGAGGAGCCACTTTGTATTTCACACATCTAAAACATGAATTAGAGGAGCTTTAACTATCTCAGCCTTGCTGTCCAGCTAACACCTCCAACTAAACCCAACCGTTCTCCATTTCGCTATTTAGGACCCAGTTTGTATATTGATGATTTTGTTTTTTTTGACATCGATTATGAATCCTCAGCAGTTGAACACGGGGACAGTGACGGCGAGAAGAGGATGCTGTGTGAGCCCTCATGACTGTCGACTGACTCCTGCTCTCAGATGATAAAAACAGACACAGCAGCAGCCAAAAATAGCTTCCTACAAACTAAAAACACACACAAATTCCAACACAAAATGCATTTATAAACCGGAAAGGCGATTGCTTAAAGCGAGTTAGTCATCAGCCAAAGCGGTCTGTCATTTTTAAAGAAGGGTTGAATAAGACGAGCTCAGTGGTATGGCTGCTGTGTGCAGGGGAATTTCAGAGTGATGCACATCCTTTCCTAGTACTGCTCGCTACAGATAGGATGTGAGAATGCTATACATTGCTCATACATGAATTACGTCAGTGTTTTTGAGATATTTTCTACCTCAAACCAAACACTGACCGACCTGGCAGGCCCCTATCTGGAATCTAAGAGACTTAACACAGAATTCTTCCAACTTTAATGTTTTCTCCATCTGCTGTTGGCTGGCTCACTCTGCTTCTCCAGGGGATGCTTGAACCAACACTGATCGGCATAGCGGTGCAAATATACCCCCAAAATAATATGTGAAGAGTTCATTCTTGACAAACTTTCAGAAAAACCCACGTTTCCATCGTCTACCTGAGACAACATCAATCAAACTTATCTGTGTTGTTGTCATGTCGTTTCCACTGAGTCAGACCCACTTTACTTCAGTTTGATCGGTATTATCTCAAGCAAACAACAACGAAAATAGGTTTCCGAAAATCTAGAAAAATTGAGTTATCTGTTATTGCACACAAACATCCATCCCATACAAGAGATCTGAGGTCAAAGAAGCATGCTCTGGAAACAGCAGCAAATGTGCAAAAAGGTTCAAAAGATGCATTTGAATGGGAAGAAACTGATGCTGTTTGTTTTATCACTAGTAAATCAGCTCACACGGGTTCACAAGTCACAAGTTAAGCTGCCACCCAACATCCCCAATTATCCGTTCTCAGAGCAGCCGGACTTGATAATCTCACTTTTGTGTTAATGGGGGCTCGTAAAGTTTCACTCTCAGCTCGGGATCAGGCCTCTCAGGTTGCAGCCTACGGTGGAGCAGGAATAGGAGGTATCTGACACCAGCAGCTCAAGTGAAATCCAAGCAGGTGGTCTACGGGGACATTCCTCCGGGCGGACAACATCACTGTGCGTTCAGAACTTCTACTACAAATCATTCAAATCGTTTTTTGTTTATTTTAATTGTGTGTTTGTGAGGAGCGGCTGCAGGACTCACCATGACTGTGCAGGTCACTTTGTCCACACGGGGGGAAAGTAGTCCGTCCACAGAGGGTCACTCTTCCATCTCAACCAGGACTGTGTGTGAAAACTCTGGTCCTCCTCGCAGCCTCACCAGCATATTGTCTGAGCTGTCACAGAGAGCCAGACTGTTGTAAAGCCTGGGCGGAGACACCAGCTCCATGTCGGTGACACAGCTTCTCCTCTGCAGCTCATTGGCCGCTCACACTTCTGCAGCTGCCCCACTTTTCTTTTCTTTTCTCTCTCTCTGCACAGAACTCTACATTCTCTTCCATCTTTCCGATAAAGCAGAAGTAGATTACTTGCCACTAGTTTATTCTTCCAAATAACTGAGGTGGAATTTTTGTCACAGACTCTCATTTCTGGCTTCCTCTTTTCGTATAAACTCGGCGCATTCCTCCACAAGCGTGACTGATTGATAAGGTAGACGAGGGAGGGAGGGTTGTTTTAGGCTGAAATTCTTGTGGGTTTCCTCGTTGTTGTCTGGACGACACAGACCGGCAGCGTCTGGGAGAGCTGGGCAGGGGGCTGGGGAATGCTAAAGGGGGGCAGATGGGGCAGCGTGACCCTCCAGTCAGAGGGTTCAGGTCACAGAAGGAAGACCAGGAGCTCTGAGAAGCTCTCTCTGCTTTGTGACAGAGAGAAAACAAACCCACTGCACAATGACTACGCTGGTTTGTTGTGGTAATTTGTGCGAGCTGCAGATTGCGGCTCACTTTTCGCAGCAACAACTGTGGTCTCAAAAACTTTCCAGGATACCAGACCTGTGGTTACGTCTGAGAGAGAGGGGAGGGGGTTTCACCATCAAATACACAGAAGAGGCTTCTTCCTTTTATTTGTTTTTAATAAAAATCTGAATTACAACAACGTGTATAGACAAAATATAAAAGTGGAAAAGACAACAAACCGACCCGACAGTCAATCACAGCTGAGATGTGAGATCAGAGGAAGGTTTGCAGGTCGGACTACAAACGAGACAGAACTTCAGAGTATCATTCACACTGAGGACGCGTCTTGACAAACTGCCCCCATCACTTCTTACTCTTTTGGTTTTGCAATGACAGCTCTTCATGTTCATCAGAACCGTCACACAAATTCCACTGCAGGTTTAAACAAAATACAAATGAAAAGAAAAGAAAAAGTCACACATCAGACGACAGTGACGAGTTCGCTGAGGTCACGGAAGGCTTCAGAAGAGTCAGACAGCATCCCTGTTGGCTGGAAATTCAGTCCGTGGTGGTGCGGCGGTACCAGAAACGGGCCCTAAAGTCGTCGCTGCAGGTCATGAAGCCGGGGTTGGTGGGCGAGTGGACGATGCAGCGGACGATGTTGTTGTGACCGAGGGACAGCAGGTTTTTCCTCTCGGCCGTGCGAGAGTCCCAGCAGCACAGGCTGATGGTGCGTTCGTCGGGCAGCAGCACGTAGTCCTCGGTGTGGTTGAACACGCCCTGCGTACGGTGCATCTGTCGGCCGCTCAGCCCTGCACCTGGAACAGGCAGCAGGGGCAGGTCAGGAGGGTGAACGTCAACACTGAGCCCACACGGCTTAAATCCAAATGTACATCTAACAGTAACGGACCATTCACCAGGTTCCTGTACTTACTGCTGCTACGCCTTTCAAGCTTCACCTTCTAGCTAAACTGTTCTCACCTGTATCCACATTGATAATGGCAGAAAATTTACCATCAAACATATCAGTAGTTTTCCAAACATGACTGTGTGTGTGTCAGAGGTTTATTTCTGTCTGTGTACTCATACTACTAGAACAAAAAAATCTGTAGCAAATTCCCCACCTGGAACATTTGCCGATTGTTTTTCGTCATCTATAGCATGCTAGCAGGGCTGACAGCTGTCACACACAGTGGGACTATTAATTAAACATGTATGATGTCTTAACCCAGGAAACACCAAGACCCAGGGTTCCTACACATTTGAAATTTCTAAATTCCATACGTTTTCCAGACTTCTCGGTAAAAAAAAAAAATTCAAATCGTGAACTTAGTTCACTTGATGTTGTGGGACTTGTTCTCATGCTGGTTTAGCCAGAAACGCTGTGACTCTCAGTCAGAGGATGAGGTGACGAGACGACAGTGTTTCTCCTGCATATGACTCCCAACCGCCGCCGAGTTCACACAAAGTCTGCATTTAGCTTTCTTTATCCATTCAGGATCCTGATCCAGTCTTTATATTTGGGATTTATGAGCCAGTCATCAGAGAATTTACCCATCATGAGTTCTGTCAGCGACCATACAAGACATTTTGAATCACTCACTCACAGACTTTGTGGACATCACCTGTCTGTGGAAGCAGCAGTGGAACATGACAATACCTGGGCGGGCCAATGGGTTGGAAGAGGATAAGAGCAGAGGGCGGGCATTCAACTTGTCAATCTGCTCAAATATTTTCTGGGACGCATAGCCATGGATCTGTTATATGAACGCATAGCCATTTTCCATTTTCCAGACTTTTCCAGACCTGGAAATGTATAAAATCAAACTCCATACTTTTCCATACTTTCCATACTTGCGTAGGAACCCTGCAAGACCCTGTTTGTTTTTGTCCAGTGACATTGCCAATAAAGTTTTCAGACAACATGGCTTCGTCCTTCGTGTTGACACAAGGAGAGAAACTCAGTGTTACTTTAAGCACTTTGTACAGCTGACACTGACCTGCTGGTTTTAATATTTAATTTATTGATGAATGTGTTGCACTCGTCTTAAGAGAAATTCTTGACTTGGCTCAGTGTTTTTTCTCATTGGCCGTGTGCAACGTTTGAATTCCTAAACAATCATGACAATATTCTTTGAAAATAAACGAGACACCATCAGCAGCTGTCTGTTGATGGGTCACAACACAACCATCATCACACCCAGCATTTATTCTGATGCAGACTTTAGTGACTGCACTTTTTACATGTGTGAATAAGAGGACAAACCCAACAGTGACTCCAAATTGGAGAGACGGACTGAAATGTGAACTTTATAATAAACCACCTATTACAGACAGCATGTTGTATTTGAGTGGTTTCATTGTAAGAAAAGCAGCTAATGAGACACGGCTCGAAGCAAATGTTTTATGCATTTCTTGCATTTTCTCTGCTGTATCAAAAACACTCCAAACTCTGACCCAAGGCACAACCTGAGAAGAAAAAAAGCGAACAAAAGACAGAAACCACCGTACAAATATTTTATCTTAAGAGCATCCTTTTTTCTACAGCGTCACTACACATCGTTTCAGCATGTGGAAAACTCCAAAGCCTGATGTGTGTGATTGTTCTGTACAGCTGCCAAACCGTCACTGGACAAGTCCTGGTCAGAGGAGCTACTCAGTGAGTCCGTCAGTAGAACTGGTCCCTGTCACTGTGGCTTTGTCTGTAACAGCAGTTGTGCTTTCATATAACTGTCAAGCAAATTTGAAGCAAACTTTTGAAATGAAAAAAATAAAAATAAATATATGAAAGCGTGTTTTCTGGTAGCATTGCAAAAAACTCATTGCAGACATTAGAAGCAGCTTTTCTTTCCCACTTTAAAATACTTTAACATTTATTTTTCTCTAACAACACTTGTGCAGCGTCCTGCCACAAACTGTAGGTGGGGAGGCAGGAGGTGGGAATGCACCTTTAAACAATTTGGCAAACTGCTAATCAAACCAAAGGCAGAAGAATTGTGCTGCTCTTCATGACAGCAGACGTAAACAAAGAATCGGGCTTCGGTTCGTGCTCAGTACAGCTGATATCGATAGATGACAAATGCCTTGATCGGCCTCGACCCCCATCGTCTGGATCAGAGTGAGAGGCCGTGTCCACCACAGAAGACTTTCACCTACTAACGATGTGTGTATTAAAAGATGTGCAGTTTAAATAATCTGCTGCTGATGTGCAGACACATTAAAAGCAATACTGAGAGTCGGTGCTTCAGAGTTTCATTACAAAGCCAGCATGCTGCAGCACAGATCCAACTCACTGGAATGTTTTACTGAACTAATATGATGCTAGCTGTTTCTAAGTTACTGACCAGTCATAAACATGCAGCTGTGGCCAGTTCCACAACAGTTACATAGTAAGGAACCAAAGGCACACTGGTACTTCTGACAAACTTTCCACTAATGAAAAATGTGTTTACTAACACAATGAAGTCCTGCTGCTTTTCTTCTAATTCACTCATTGATCTAAGAATGCCGTCTGATTTCAAAACACAATAACATCCGTGTTTTCGTCAACATTTACAAGCCTGTGATCATTCACACAAAGAAGGAAGGAAGTGTGACAGCAGACCCTGAGGAAGATGGTGTCATCATTCGGTCGCATTGGCAGGTTGTTGTTCTGCCACAAGATTCCTCAGAGCGACAGCTGAAGTTGCAGCAGTTAGTGTGATGTCAGTGTGATGAAGCTCTCACTTTGTGTGGACGCACGAAAAAACATCACGTCGCTGCGCTTCTGCGAGCTGAAAATGTCACTGAGCTTCAGGTCAGCGTTACACTGACGGGGGATAAATCGTGTGTTATTTCACACCAAACGCTTCACTGCCTGACAGCAAAGTTAAAATAAATGAACTTCCTCATTTGTCTGCTAGAGGGCGCCGTTTCCCCAGACATGAAACACTCAACATCAACCCTCAGGCCTTCAGTGAAGGTCCGTTTGGTGAGTGATGGTCAGGGAAGCACAAGGGGTGGAAAATACATATTAGACTGAGCAAATATATTTGAAGTCAAAAGATCAGATTATGGTTAGACGTTCTTTGAAGTGAGTCCTGACGAGTATATCACAGATAAACTTTTATGTTTCCAGCCTTTTGTTTATGCCTCTACATGTGCAGTAACTCATTGTATGACACTGATATCTGGTTTATTTAAACATTTGTTCTGCATCTCATCATTGTATGTATTATTTTTCTTGTCCCAACACATATTGTAGCTCCCATTTGTGTCTGGTGACTGTATTACTGAGATCAGCTGCTGTCTGAGTAAAGTGCTCTTTGCAGCTCGTGTCTGAGAAGCTTCACTCTGTAGAACCACAAATACGAGTGTGTTTCTAAGTCCCACAACTCCAACAGCTTCTTTTCTTTAGCAGATCAAGTCCCGTCAGTTTAAGAAAAACAAATGATCTCAGTTAATCTTGTATTCATATTAATAATTTAAACTTGAATGAAGCATCAGGTTTAGTATCTGAAGCTGCCGGATTGACTCATTATCATCACTGGAGCATCAGAGCTAAAAAATCTGATCAACACATCCCATAATTTAGTGCCACGTTTTGTTTTTCCATTTGATATATGGTAGATGCTCACACTTCTATCTGTTTTTGTGCTTCCTGTGTGACATTCTCCCTTTGTGGGATCAAAAACGTTTTCTATCTAAAAATAATTCGGTTTTATTGCCACTACAAATATTTTTTTTTGAAAAAGACAGGAAGGTCTCACTTATTGTCAACTTTTTTTCCCTGTGAGTCTTGTTCTGAGGAAATTCATCAAAAGTCCTGAACGGTACAAATTTGTCATTCGTTGCTCATTTTACTGATGAATATCTGCTGATGCAAAATATCCCTAAATAGACTTTGTAATGTGTTTTAGGGACAGACAAGGACTGATAATAGAGGCGGTGACAGTAAATCAGTCTGTAACACCTGAGGACCACTGCAGTAGGTGACGCTACACTGTTTGTGCAGCAGAGGATGATACTGGACCAGGACCTTCACAAAGACCGGCTGTCACACTGCCTGACTACTAAACTACTCAAATCTAACAAACACTCAGTCAATTGGCAGCTTTGATGATGATGATAATATGGAAAACTAGATCTTGATTTTGCATTATGCTGGTTTTGAAGTTTTTCTAATCTTTCAATTGTGAAATAATAAAAATTTCAGGCAAATCAAGAGATGGTTAAGCAGAAACTTGTAAGAATTTGATGATTTGAGATGGAAAGAACTCATTTTCTGGATATTTTTTTCCCTCTTAATTTAAGTGACAATCAAATCTAAGTAGAATGAAAAATAAATCTCAGTAGACCATCTTTAAAAGTGTATCTGCATCAGTTTTGCATTGGAACAGGTCACAAAAACAAAAGCCTTTTTCCATCTGAAACATATCACCTGTCTCTGACCATCCCTCTCCCTCCCTGCAGCTGAAACATTCATCCATGCCTTCATCACCTCCACACTTGACTACTGCAAAAGCCTCTCTATGGTTTACCCTCCAAACTCCTCAGAAAACTTCAGCTTATTCAAAACTCTGCCGCCCGTCTCCTCACCCGCTCACGTGATCACATCACCCCCGTCCTCCAACATCTCCACTCGCTATGAAACAATGCATCACGTTCAAGATCCTCCTCCTCACCCACAAAGCCCTCCATCATCTGCCCCCTCTACCTCACAGACCTGCTCCAGCCCCACACGCCTTCCCACAGCCTCCGTTCCTCCTCTGCTCACCTCCTCGCCCCACCACCAAGGACCAAGCTGGGGGGACTGAGCCTCTTCTGCTGCTGCTCCACCCTCTGGAGCTCCTTCCATCTCCCATCTGAGCCTGTTCTGACCTCCACTCATTCAAGTCCCTTTTAAAAACTCACCTTTTTAAGATCGCTTTTAATGTTTAACTGTTCTACATTTTCATTTTTTTTATTTTTACCTGCGTTCTATGCCTTGTTGTTTATCTGCTTTTATTCAACTTGTTTTGTTCCTGTTTTTATCTTCTCCCCTGTTAAGCGCTATACAAAATAAATGTCTTATTATTATTATTATTATTATTGTTCGTGGAACACAAACCATAAACCAAAATGTGTCGAGGATCAAATGAAATAGATAGATTCACACCCTTTGTAAACTTTTTTTCTGCATCTCGACCCTAAAAATACAAGGTTGACTTCTCAGGAGTCCAAATCAAATCATAATGTGTTCAAGTCAGATCTAACACCTCTTTCATGCCAGTCTATGACCCTGCACCGTGTTTCCACCTCAGCCCATCCTCCTTACCTGTGTACTTGACCAGTGTTCGGCCTGTAGAGATCTCCCACAGTTTGACCACGGAGTCTTTCCCACTGGACAGGATGTATTTGGAGTTCTTGGAGAAGATGGCCGAACAGACCTCGGCTCCGTCGTGGGCCTTATCAAAGGTGGTCACGCAGCGGTTGGAGACGCCGTCCCACAGTTTGATGCTGCCGTCCTTGCTGCAGGTGACGTAGCTGTTGGCTGTGGGGTTATAGCTGACGCCACTGATGGTGTCTGTGTGCTGGTCCAGCGGGTTGCACGACACGAAGCACTGGAAGGTGTTGACGTCATAGAGGCGCAGTGTGGGGTGCTGCGTTCCCACCAGCAGGAAGTCACCTGACGGGTGGAAGGAGATCGAACGCAGCATTTCTGCTTCCTGCAAGGAAGTAGACAAAGAAAGGATTGGTCTACAAAACACTTATAGTGGTCCGCAAAGTCTTACAAATTTAAATGTTGTAATTTTCCAGCCTTTTCTTACATCAACAAATTTAATTTTTCCCAAAGCAGAAATAAATGATGAGTCCACAAAAGCTGACCTGTATATATTTAAATGCTCGTTTTGCAGAGGGCTTTGAGTAGTCAAATAGTTTGAGGGTGTAATCTCTTGAGCCAGATGCTAAAATCTGTTCGGTGGGATGGAAGGCGAGGCAGGTGACTTCATCAACGTGGTCGTACAGTGTCCGGATCACAGGGTGGTTCTCCATGTTTTGCTGCGCTGTCTCATTCATCATCACCTGATGTACAGATAAATGGGGAAAAAAAACAAAGTGAGCACGCTGGCTTAAAAACATCCAGTCTACCTTTACTCTCCAACCTGCCTCACCTCAATGGGCATTGCACTTTTTGCCAGCATCCGCTCAGTATCCAGGATCTTAATGGAGGCGTCAGCAGAGCCAGTGGCGATCAGCTGCCCGTCTCGACTGTATGTGGCAACACGGCATGGACCTTTATGAGACGTGACATAGCAGGTCTCGTACTCTGATGCTTCCGGAGACATTGTCTGGACATCGGCGTCAAACTCCAGGTCGATGCCAACACCAGGCGCCACCGTGTCAGAGCGTCCAATAGCGTACTGAACGGCACTATCGTCGTTCTCCATCCCTGTTATTATGGGTTGCAAACTGTACAGTTAGGGCAGCTTCACACACACACATCACAAAAACACACAAGGACATGGAGAGAACATCTCTGACCTATCTTTGCCAGCTGCATCAGCTGCTCAGAGGGCGACACCACGCTCTGGGGCTTGACCTCATTAATGAGACTGTTGGCGATGCTGGTGTATCCATCGTAGAGCAGCTGGCTTATGATGAGCTTGTACAGGTGCTGTCGGTCCTTCAGAGTCGGTTTGGGACGATACATGCTGGGTCACTTTGACTTGACTGCCAGTAGTGACAACTTAGCAGACTGTAACCAAACAAACAATGTCAGCAACTTATCTTCAGACTGTGTTAGCGGCTGCAGAACAATAATAAAATAATAAAAGCTAATGTTACTTCCACACCGTTAGCCGTGACTATGCTAACGTTATGGTCAGACACAGCGAATGAATGGGGACTTGTGCTCAGCCGTGATGCTAACAACGTTAGCTTTGTGGCTACAGTTAAGACAAAACAACAGTATGCTAACAGCAGATACAAACCGGAACTGGCTGAGCGTGTGTGCTCTGCAACTACGGTATTATGTGCTACCTAACAGTGAAAGCTAAAGCGCAGTTTCTGTTGTTTTTAATATTAAAACATAGAGATTTCTAACCTCTTCGAAGTTCCAACGGCGCCTCTGGACCCAAACGTGCGTTACGTATTACGCAGTTTGCGTCCTACGTCATGACGTCCGCCTCGTTCGACAGGAACTGCGACTGCGCCTCAACTGGAAGAGAAGAAGAAAAGCTGCAGCAGACCGATGGATGACACGCTGTAGGTTTTACTGTAACTACAGATAATAGTTCAGAGCCAGCGTCTCTCACGGCTGTTGCTTTAACTGGATTTAGCAGACCCGCTTAAGATAATGATAAAAAAAGAAAGAAAAAAAAAACCGCGTTGGTGTTAATTTTGTTGTTTGTTGCCTAGTAACAGTGTTCAATTAGCATAATTAACACATGAAAACCAAACATTGTCATGGATGCTGCAAACATAGATATGTATATATATCTGTGGCTGCAAATATGCCTGTACAAGTTACATCTAAAGAAAATGAGCGACATTAAAATATAAATACTGAGATATGTTCTTTGATTTGGTTGGTTTGCTTTGGAGCTAGAATTATGGATCAATAATTACTATAAAAGAAAAAAGCAGACTTTGGTTTACAAATGAACTGGTGAGTGTTTTAACTGTACAAGTCCTGCAAAAAAAAAAAAAAAAAATAAATAAATAAACAACAAAAAAACCCAAACAAGCAAACTAGATGTAATAACAGGCCCTGGAGGCCAGGCTGTGATAGAGCTGGTCACACAATAAGATTTCTAAACAGGAAAGTGTTTCATTAAGTGGGTGGGAAATAATAAATGCGCTTCATTTAAACTATTCAGTGCACTTTGCAATACATGCATGCTGTCAAGTTTAAATGTATGTGCAATGTTCACCCACTTTGTCATTGAATCACAAAGGTTATAGCTTTATTTTTAATAGATTAGTAGATTATCAGTATCGAGTGTCCAGTTGCACATTCCTGTCATTTTCCAGTTAATTCTCAGAGAAGTCTGGATTCAACAATCAGCAATGGACAAATGTGCATGAGAGATTAGACATCATTCTATTTTTTCTTGTGTTTTGCAGCTGTGTTATTTATATGTATTACTTACAAAACTAACCTGAAATCTGACTAAATTATGTTGTCAAAGTTATTTTCTCAATTCAGCAGTTAATTACCACTGTGGGAAAACGGAGGCAATGATGCAGTGTGGTTCATCAGTTCTAATGCTGACCAAAAAAACACAGATATGCAGTATAACACATGCAGATAGATGATGGTAGCTCAGTGTGTTAGAGAGATAATCTGATTCCAATGATGCATCTGTCATTTTTTACTTCAAAATATGTAGCAAGGGCCTCATTCTAACACAAATGAAGTAGGCTGGATATTTCTCTTGGGTGCCTTCAGTGTAGGTTCATAATTTGGAAGAGATGATCTAATGCAGTGCAGAGGGAGACAATAAAACAATAAAAATAAGTAAAATCTGAGAGTGAAGATATGCTTCAGCTGCATGATTAGGTCTTCAGAAGTATTTGTTATCTCTGGAGCCAGCATCACTTCATGACTAAAAACATAACAACAGCTCTAGTCACAGGCATAAAAACCACAATAACTGCAACAAAACAAGTCTGTGAAACGATGCAGGGCAGCTGTAAAGGCCAGGAGGAGCAACAAGATCACATGTTGTTAGTCTCTTGTCGCTGCTGACCATCAGCTGTAAAACATGATGCAACCTTGTATCCTAGTAACCTCAGCAACACGACTATAATACCATCTATCAGCAGCAACAGACAGCCTGCTGGCTGTTCTGGAGCAGACATCTGCGCAAATCCATGTAAGACGATCCACATGCGGCGATTTAAACTCATTTCATTTCAGTCGTGTCTTTCAAAACACGCCTGAAACGACGATTCCACCCTGTGGGATTGTGAGCCGTGTGAAGACGGTAGAAAACATGCGTGGTAGGAGGTGTCCTGTTGCCATGTCAACACAAAGCATGCTCTCAGTGGACCAGCCTGCAGTTGCCTTGGAGACCAGCTAGAGTCTGTAGTAGGGAAATGATATAAAAACTATTTGTTTTCTTTCAGCAGATGTCATCTGATAATTGCACGGTCGATCCCACACGATGACAGAATGTTCACAGAAACAGAGCACTTCACTTACATCAGAGGATCTGAGGGCAGAAATATGTTTCTTAAATAGTTTTTTTGTTTGTTTGTTTTTCATGTATTTATACAGGAATACAAGAATAAAACAAGCTTAAAGGAGATGTAGTAAGTCATTCTGTATTACCGACGATTCAAATTAGTAATGTGAACGAGGTGTTTATAGTGACAAAGAATTATCACCTGACTTTCCAGCGCTTCTCACCTCTATGAAGTGTGGTAGCAGGTTTTTTACAACATCATAGATTTACGCTTCCCTTCACTCTCACTCCTCTCTTCTGCATCATCTTCAGCAGCTTTGCACACAAAAAAGAGATAAACCAGCAACAAACAGACAGATTTTCCAATCAGCATGAAGCTGCTGGTGGCGTTAAAAACAGAGTTACTGTGAATTCATCAGGTGGAACTGAACTCATAAATACCTAATTATGGCTAACTCGTTAACCATATTGCCTTTGAAAGGTGATAAAATGTCAGCCTGTGTCACTGCCCTCAAATGGCCAAAGTATGAATTAATTCAGGTTTAGAAATATATTCCAGTGCAGTTTTGTTATCTTGTGGTGTAACTGTTAAACATGTGTAACTGTCAGTGGCTCTGATGTGGAGGTGGCATGTGGATGTATATGAAAATTATACGCTGCATTTGTCTTTCTATGCTGCTGTGAACTGTCAGAAAGCTGCAGTGATCTATTAGTTGTGTATAAACTCTGAGGCCACATTTCACCTTTAGTTTCACCTTTATGGGAACTGTGCAGTTAAAAGAGACTTTCCTGTAATATTTGAGAGAAACTCATGATGTTGTTTGTTTACTGAGTTCGTCCTGGAGAGATGAGGGAAAACTGCCGCCAAAAATAACACATATTTCCTCCATTATCTGTCTGAAACAGATCAATACAGCGTGCTTTCTGCTTTCAAAATCCACCGTTTCTCTCACTAAAACAGCCCCAGTTAATGCTGCAAAAGAATGAGTATAATGGAATGTTTGATTTATTTTTTATTAAAAAGCATCGCTGTATAAGCATGTGCAGCATGAACTGCTGTGCCCCTGCAAAACGATCCACACTGTATCATGGGGGTTGTGGTTGGAGGTGGGAAAATTCACTCCAGCCACTCACAACTCATCCATTTGTTCTCTGCCGGAGAGAGTGAGAGCAGAGCACGTGCAGCCGAGCAGCCACATCAACATTAGCTTTGCTGCACCCTTGTCTATGTGGGTGTATGAAAAACGGTGTGTGGGAGGAAGTAGGTAGGTGGGGGAGCGAGTATATAAGTGAGCCAGAAGTCAGGTACTGCCTCAAACTGTTGATGGTAAATCAGTCATTCAGCTGTTGAAGGTAAGCTCGCCACTTCCTCTGCCAGGCAGTTGCTCTCACTTTTCCTGCTCAACACTTTGTATTAGCCTTAAATTCTTCCATCTGTGCTCAGGGCCTCGTTGCTCTTTCGCTGATCTCTCTCTCTCTCTCTGTGTAATCTATGTTTTCAACTTGTCCTCCGGAAGTCTTTGTTTGACAGCAGCACACCCACCCAGCCAGCCTTTCTCCTTCCCTCACTCTCCTCCTCTCTGCCTCACCACTTTCAGAGTGCATCTTCTCTCTCATTTGCATTTCTTCCGCTTCCTCGTGACAAGAAACACTTCATGTCAAAGGGCTGTGAGAGAAGATCAGATTGGAGAGAAGGAACACACACAGCCTGGATGGCAGCACAGTGTAGAATGAGCAGGTACTCAGAGGATGGGATGTTCGCTGTAGAAGGCTTTCTAAGCTGGATAATTGTCACTGATTGGAGCGCGCAGCAACACGGTAGGTGACTTCTGCTCGCTTGTTTTCTGCAGGTTTTTTTTCCCCCTTAACTGTTGCGCTTGAGTTTTGGCCTAGTTATGAGCGATGTGCTGTGGTCTCTCTCAGTGTTATTCTTACCTACACTGTGTGTTGATATACACGGCCAGATATTTCCTCTTTTCAAACTTTCCTTCCATAAAGTCAGAACTTCAGTTAACAGAGCAGACAGGATGGAACAAGAAATGTAATTCCTCAAAACAAACCAGAACCATGTCGAAAGTCTTTCTTTTTTATTGTGATTATTTATTATTTACAGAAGCAGAAGCTCTTATTTCCAGTGAAGTGGGACTTCTGTTTGAAGCGATTTCACCCAAGACAGACATTTTATACAGATATGTGAGCGCTTGTAGAATAAAACATCCCTGCTGTTTTATTTCTACCCAGAGTGGCAGCATGAGTAACAATATGACATATTTACATAGCTGTAAGGAAGTGAAAGCGCATTACTGTAAGAGCGTAGATCCAAGTCCAATCATGTTGTAAAAATGAAATACATTCACACGGTGCTCCTCGTGAACTCACGCCGAATGTGATCAGAAGCAAACTTTCCTCAGTTCACAGCACAAAAAGTCTCCAACGTGGGCGTGCTCATGCTGCACAACCAACAAAAGAGTGTGCTGCATGCCAACTGTACCTCTGTGGGTGAATTATGCAAAATCACCATACATGTAGAAGAAGCATCGCAGCAACAGGAAATGAAATTTGCTCCCCCTATTATGCAGCTATTTGTGTTTTCATGTAGGTTGCTACACACACTTTGATAAGATTACATGGCAGTCTGTCAGGAGACAAAGCCTCCACACGGTACATGTGAACATGAATTCAGTTTTACATCAATTCAGTTCAGCTTTATTTATATAGCAGCCAATCATAGCACATGCTCTCTCTGGGAACTTTGTATAGAAAGGTCAAGACCTTCTATTTTTATAAAGAGAAACCCATTAGAGCAAGCACTTGGTCATCGGCCTTGACTGGTTGGTCAATAGAACAGCATACCATGTAATTGGTCCAGACTGGTGACAAAGGCAACAGCTAATGTCAGCAGACACATTTTATTTTAGGGAGATAAAAGCTCCTGATGTACTGTACGACTGTCTGATCTCACTCCCTCTCCTGATGTGACTCACTCTCCTACATCATTCCCAGCTCCTCTCTGCTGTATGTACACATTTCTCTCCATGCTTTTGTCTCACATTTCCACTGCCTGCACACAGAACATATCTTAAGAGTTGGATTCCTGCACCACCTGCCCTTGAAATAAACCAGCAGATGCCTGTGCTCTCTCTGCGCTCTGTATCCATGGGTATTATTGCTCATCACAACAATGAAATCACTCAGATGGAGATGTGCGTTCTATTTTGGAAGCAGAGAATAGATGCAAAAACACATCTCCCTGAATTTTATCACCATGCAAGATCCAGAATGGATTAATTGCTTTATTAGCCATCTGTCCTGAAGGGTGCTGCCTGTTTGTCGTTAATAACTACTTTAGTGCATTGATGTGCTCATTCTCTCTGTTCCATTTACAAAATATTTTCTTCTTTGAAAGAGACGTAGAAACATTTAAACAGACAGATCTGCCCCTTTTGATGTGAGGCAAGGCAGAGGTCTAATGCAAACTGTTCTTATCTTACAGGTAATTAGAGACCTGGCACTGGTACATCACGACAGCAGCAGCAGCGTTACCATGGAGACTGGCAAGCCAGGATTGGCGAGCGCGCCGGTGCACATCAGCTCCGTCGCAGCGCAGGCAGAGAAAAGGATGGACATCCAGGCCCCTCTCACGGCTGTTTACATCCACACAGTGCCTGCTTTACCAGCGCAGCCTTACCCTCAGCCTCCTGCAGCTGCCCGGGAGCCAGCTACACTCCATCTGGCTATGCCGCCTCTCTACTCGAAGGAGACGCTTCCCTTTTTGACACTCCATATTGCTGGTGGGCTGCAATCTCAGCCGGGATTGAGTCTGGCAGCTGCTGTTCCTGCAGTCAGACCCAAGTCTGCAGGAAAGCATGTGTGTCCACACTGCGGAAGGGACTGCATGAAGCCCAGTGTGCTGGAGAAGCATCTCCGCTGCCACACTGGGGAGCGGCCTTATCCCTGCAACACTTGTGGAGTTTCTTTTAAGACTCAGAGCAACCTCTACAAACACAGACGTACTCAGGCTCACGCTCGCCTCTCGTCCGAGTCAGAGCAGAGCAGCCTGAGCAGCCTCGACAGCATGTCCAGCTCAAGAGAGACTTGTCCCTCCAGTTTGTCTTTGGATGAGTCGGGCAGCGTGGAGAAGGATGCTACACTAACTGCTGCTGAGAGCGCCAGTCCAGTTAGTGCTACAAGGACCTTCTCTGTAAGAACGCAAGGTTCTGTCAGCGAACACAATGAGCTGGTCCTCACAGGTCACAATACAAAACCAAATGAAAGTGAAAAGGCAGCAAAGGAAGAGGAAAAACAGAGGCTGGAAAAACCTCCTCTGACCGGTAGTCGACATCTTCCCCTCCAGAGACAAGAGGCCACTCTGTTCTCCAAGCAGTGGGAGAGTTCTGTGTCCAGAGGGAAATCCCAGAGTCATGAGAGCACAGACTCCGGCTTCAGCGAGAGCAGCGACCAATACCTGAGCCCCAGCAGCATTTTACCGGACCACAGCATGGATTCCCTCGCTGAGTCCACCAAGGAGCATCTTGAAGAACCCATCGGCACAGACGCACCTTCAGAAACAGGCCACGGTGGACAGGAGCCTAAAGACACTGTGAGGGAGCAGGAGACACTGGAGGAGCGCATATCGAAGCTGATTTCAGAGAATACAGCTGTTGTGGAGGACAAACAGCTGGAGAATGTCAGACCACGGAAGACAGTTCTGTCAAAGCAGGGCAGCATCGACCTCCCCATGCCGTACACGTACAAGGACTCCTTTCACTTTGACATGAGGATCAATCAGAGTCAGAGTTTCGGCTTACAAAGAAACAGAAAGCCAGAGTTGTACAGCTCTGTGCCCACTCAGCACTCCTCCGCCATGGAGCATGCTCCCTTAACCCGCAGCAACTCCCTCCCGTTCAGCGTGACCCTCCTGCAGCCTGAGAGGAGCAGCCCAAACTCCTCCTATCACAGCGATTATGTAACACTCGCCCGGAGGGGAAGCTCTGGCCAGATCAACCCAACAGGTTTCACGATGAAGCCTGTGAACCAGCACTCGTCCACCCACCGCCCACTAGTCCGGCAGACAGCCGTAGACTGCAACCACGCAACAGACGGTCTCTTCAGGAATTCATCTGTGGAGGAGGCGTGCACCAGCAGTCTCAGCTGCGATGGGGACGGCGGTGACATTTGTGGAGAGCCAAGCAACAGAAAGTTCCGGAGGAAGAAAGCGCAGAAGTTTGCCTACAACAAGTGGTACATGTACGGGGGAGGAACATTCAAAAAGCTCTACAATGCTGAGAAGAGTGGTGATAACAGTGTTATCAAAGGCAGGAAATGCTCGACAAACCCAGAGCACGAGGTGGTTCAAGGTCTACAGAAGAGGCTGTCAGTGGTTCAGAAGGAGACGTTAACAACAACTGGCTCAACAATCCACTTAACAAACACCAGTGCAGCAGTGGGCCACTCAGGCGGCCCTCCCAGTCTACCCCCCGTCCCCGCTGTGGACTGTAATCTACAAACCAGTCACCTTAATTCATCGTGCAGCTCTCTCAAGGCTCCACTTCGGAGGAATTTGTCTTTGTCAGTTCTACCATTACCTTCCATTGGATCACTGGTTAGTCACAAAACAGACGGTGCAAACAGACCAGAGGCTGGGAGGCTGATGAATGAAGAAAAACGTCCTGACTCTGCATCGCAGCTCTGCGCTGTCCATGTTCCCTCAGACAGGAAAAAGCAAAGAACTGATGACAAAATCCTTTTCCCTCTGGAGATGAATCCTGACCCAAACACACTGACTCATCCCCCTCCCTCTGTTTCTGGAAGCGTGTCTAAGCAGGATACCAATCTCACTTATATCCGCCTTCAAGAAAATCCAAAACACACTCAGCTCAAAGCAGCTCTTTTCCCACCATGCATAATCAATGCAAATGCACCGTCTGTTAGCACCTCTCCAGCCACTTCCATCCCCCCTGCTGCCAAGAACAGCTTCCTGCCCAAGTACCAGCTCAAGTTACCTAATGCTGCTGAACCTGATTCAAATCCTTCACTGCAGGTTGTAGATAACCTGACAAGAACTGATGGTGGCACTTTCACCTCTCCTCCCACTGAGCAGACCTCGCCCTCCATCACAACTTGTGAAAAGAGCTGTAGGGACACCATCACTTCACCAGTCATGCAAACTTGTGATACCAAGAAGACAAGGGCTTTAATTTCTCCACAAGACAAGCTAGCCCTGCCCTGCACAGTCACAGCTCTTTGTCAGTCACAGCTCAGTCAAACTTCAGCGCCTAGTTTAGCTGTAGTGCACAGGCAGTTTGCAGCAACCACAATAACCACAAGCTGCCTACAAGATTATCAGGCAGGATTATGCAGCACTTTGATACAGTCTTCAAAATCTGCAGTTCCTATGCAGTCACCCAAACCTGTTGCACCTGCAGTAGTGAACTATCCTACAACATCCACCGTAACCACAGCAAACAATCAGACATCTGCTCAAGATTGCCTTAGCCCTCCTTTGTCGCACACACATCAATCAGCAGCAGCAGACTCGTCAAACCCTGGAAGCAGAGCCCATGTCGGCCCAAACACGCCACTCGTACCGTGTCACGTGGTACCGTTTGACCCGGTGCAGCCGGCTGCTCAGAATGTGTTTCATGTCCAGACAGCAGACCTCCAGATCTGCCTCCAGATCATATCTGATGAGCAGCTGGCCCTCATTGAACCTCAGATTGAGCGACCATCAGGTTCACAGAGATGCGACACAGAAGCCACACAAGTTGTTCAGAATAAGGCTCAAAGCTTCGTCACTGTGGAAAGTAGCAACGAGAGAAGAGACCGCGAACAGCCAGCTCATGAAGGAGATGATAAAAGTGAGTCTTTGCCCCCAGTTAACCCAAAGAGAATAACATCTCCACTGTCTGGACAATCTGGAAAAGCAGAAACAGATCTTCAGCTCACTCAGGACAGTAGTTCCAGCCAGCCTGCAGCACCACCTGATTCTATTCCTCCTGAAACTCTGGACTCGTCGCTACACCCACAAAAACACGGTCATGTAAACACAGTCACAGAGACTCAGAACTCTGCGGGCGATGTTATGTCAACTGCCACTTCACTCAGAGGTGTAAAGTCAGGAAGGAGCCAAACTTTAGAGGAGCAACAGGCCCTTTCTCAGAATCGTGCTGAGGAGAAACTTTTGCCGGACAGGAAGGTCAGCCAAGGTGGAGCGGCCTCACAAACACTCTCCAGCCAACACAAGCTCAGCGTGAGCTCTCCTTCCACCAGCACAGTAAATCAAAATAGCATGAAAAGAGAAGCACCGAGCCAACACAAACTTAAAAATCAAGGAGCCTCGTGTAATGTAGGCACAACGAATGCCAAGCGTGAAACCTCGGCGTACAAAAGCAGCAGATTAGAAAGCGGAGAATCCCTCAGTCAGGCCGCCGGTGCTGCAGGCGCTGATAAACCGTCACTTTCTGTCAACAAATGCAAAACTTTAAGACGTTTGAACCCACAAGCATCAATCTACTGCAGCGATCAAGTGGAATCTACGTTATCTGACAATCTGACTTCATCCAAATGTTCGAACACGGGATGTGGCGTAGCAGGAAGTCCAGATGAGTCTGTCCCTTTAGTGGAAATCACCCCACGTGATTCACAGGATGTCATCAGTTCTGCCCCCTCAGACAGACGGTTTACATCAGTGTCTTCTACCATCCGGCTGGAAGAACCCAAAGACGCTCCAGCTGCAAGCATCCAGAGCCCAGCCGCAGGTAAATGACTATTTTAATTCCAGTCGTATATTAATGTGTGGCACGTTGAAGTGCAATTTGAGAGTTTGTCCTGGATTTGGCTCCACACTGCAGCACACTGGCTTTAAAATCAAACACTGACTCTCTGACCAAATGGTTCAGGGTGTTTACATCCATATGAAAAGTTAGAATCTTCCTCTTAACATACTGTGTAGGCCAGTTGGACTGGGTCACTCTTGTTGGTCATGCTGACAAACCTCAATCTCAGCAAATCTACAGACAGGGACCCATTTCCACCACAAGGTGGCAGCACATGATCACAGGTGTGCAGCATGGAGCCGTCCTCTGAAACGTTTTTTTGGTTTGTAGAATCAGCAAAACCCAGAGAATGTGTGTTTTTGGTCCTAACTGAGGAATTAAAGGACTTAACGGAATTTAAAGTGTAGGCATAAACATTTAACTGGTGCTTTGCTTAACAATCTCTGTGTGGCTAAATAACACAACCTGTCTAACAGTCCATATGGCTTTAATCGTGACTGTTATTTTCCTTCTTACTGGTGACATACGAGCTGCTCCAGGCTTCCACACAGAACTGTAGCGTCTTGTAGCATCTGAAGGTGTCATTTGATCTCCATCACAGCACAAATCAGGAACTTTTCCACTATTAAAATGAAAGGATTATGGAAAATAACAGAGATGCTGGGGGGGTGTGGAGGATAAACAGGACCGCTGTGACCTCCATGCACTGCCTCTTGGCTAAAGCGGCTGCTGTGCATCTGTTAAGCACAAATGCAATTTTCCTTCAGATTATTATTATTGCTGCCAGGGTAATTATTCTACAGTAGCGTTATTAAAGTCATTCATGGAGAACTTTAGACAGTAAGAGAGGAGGGGTGGTCCACGTGAGTTTTCTTAGTAATGTGTTCTTTAGGACTTTGCCAGACCAAAGAAATTCTTTATGAGCCCAGGCTGGTGTTTCTTCAAGAAAACTGCCCTCATGCTATTATATCTGATGCCATGTGTACATGTACTACAAGAATATGCATTCCCACTGGAAACTGTTTTTATTGCCCAGTGGTCAGTGCAGTGCTATTATCCTACTGGAACTACCAGCTATAGTTTCTGCATTAAAGGTTTTATACACATTTAATGGTTGTAATCATCCCCCTTCTTCATTCTGGTCATTTAAGGTCCACTTTTAATTCATTTTTTCATGTACTATCAGTGATTAGAGATGAAATCCACAGCCATGCAAAAAAGTTAAACTCAGGTTAATATGAAGCACCAACAGTCTTAGTTCAACAAATCAAATGGATATTTTCCAAAGTTTTTGTCTTTTTTTTAGTGTTGAATCCGTTCCATTGTTTTCACCACTTCAGCTAGAGGGACTTTAAAAAGACTTTTGAAAACACACACTTTGTCTAACTGTGACAACCAGAAGCCTTGTGTTTGCTCAGATCACACACATGCCTGGTGTTTCAGTGGTTGGGCCTTGGGCTACTGATTGGAAGGTTGGGGGTTAAAACAAACCAAGGTGCCACCGTTGGGCCGCTGAGCAAAGCCCTTAACCTCCAGGGGCACCTTAATGTGGTTGACCCCAACTTTCTGGGATCCATAGAGTGCATAATATAAGAAAACCTGTTGCAGCATTCAAACATGCACTGGACTGCTGTTTTCAGACAGACTTGGAAAACATGCTTATGAGTCACTGACTGACAAGCAGTGAAATGTGTGGACTTATAACCCTAAAGAAAGATATTTTTTATGTGCTTTTTATCTGTTTTTCTTCCCCCGAGGCCGAATGGAGGGAGCCGCCCAGGTGGGATGTGAAGCCCAGAAGGAGACACAGGAACATGCAGGGACTCCTGGGCGGCCGGATAGCGCCGCCTGGAGGCCGAAGCAGAGCCAAGAAGCCGGAGAGACACACCAGCAGCACTGGGAGGAGCAGAGTGGTGGTGGGGCGATGGGAGAGGAGACAGACGGGCAACTAAAGACGGCTAAAGTGTCAGCACAGTGGGACAAGGTAGAGTCTGACTGGAGACACTCAGTGTGACCACATGTGACAAAACCAGAGGTGATATGAATTAAATAACTGCTCACTGGATGCACATTTACAACACAGTTCCTAGACTGAAAAATGTGCTTAATTTGAGTTTTGATTGTCAGAATTTAAATGAAGCTGTCAGGGAGTCACGTTTTTAAAAGGCGAAGCTGATCTGAAATGAGTTTTCATACGAGTCAAAAATGTGACAGTAAATAACTTAAATGAGACTTCTGTCCTGTCATAAATGCAGCGTGGATAACGAGATGTCAGTTTAATGGATAATAAAGCAGTGCAATGATGTCAGTGACACCATTTCAGACATCCAAACCGCAACTGCAGGAGATTTTGATTAGTTTCATCATGTGTTCTATTAGTGGAAATGTGTTTTTAGATATGACTTGAACCTAATATGTCACAAATGTGTGTTACAGCACAACTCTAGCAGACAGAGCAAGCAACTCATCCATTTATCACCAATAATCACTTTCTGTGCTCTGACAGACTTGCAGCTTTACATTCGTACCAGTACATCCAGTTATACACAGTGGTAGAAAGTACATTTACTCAAGTACTTAAGTACAACTTAGAAGTCAGGTTTTCCATTTTGTGCTCCTTTATGTTTTTACTTAATTACAGAGAGAAACGTCCTTTTTCTCTGCTGCATTTATCAGACAACTGAAGCAACTTTTTAAGATCTGATTTTAAGCAGGAAAAACCTACAACAAGCTTCTAAAGTTCAAAACAAAACAACTTCATTATATTCTACTGTGGAGCTTTTCCCACTGGACATGCAAAAGGACAAATATGTGACAAAAACAAACAAGACTCATGACTGTAAATCTTTACAACAGAACTTAAATGATCTTAAATAGCGCTCTTATCCAAAGTGCTTTACAGTGTTTCTCATTCACACACATTCACACACCAGTGACAGAGCTCCATGCAAGCTGCTGCTGCCACTGGGAGCACCTTCGGGTTCAGTGTCTTGCCCGAGGACCACTTGGACTGTGGAGGGGCCGGGGATCAAACCGCCAACCTTGTGACTGGAGGACAACCCGCTGTACCACCTGAGCCACAGCCGGCCAACATGCTTTTCATCTTTTATAACATTTTTAATCCACGGTGGACTGATGCTTTCCAAACCACAGTTAGAACACAAACAATACAAGAACAGCAAAAACACAAACAAACAATAAAGAATGTACAGGATTCCTTCTGAATTCATTTTACTGGTTTAATTACTCAGCAGAAGTTTTCCACAGCTCTGTCACATTCTTCTTATTTGTGGATCATGTGGCAGCAGGTTTAAGGCACAAACGTTTGTGTCATCATGCAGTAGTTTAGAGTTTTTCACCCAGAAAAACGATCCAGCCGAGCCAAAGAAAACCTCGTTCTTCTTTTCTCGTGAAGTATTCGCGGCGTGATAAATGTGTGACCCTCCAGGATGTGTCACAAGACAGCAGTACGAGAACAAGAAAAAGGTTTCAGACAACCTGACAAATGCACGTAACACAAACAGCTTCAGAGCCACACACGGTGGCAGCGAGGTGATGAGGATTAGTGAGTCTTCTGCTGACATTTACATACCAGGACCAGGCAGCTGACACCAATTACACTCACAGATGTCTGTTTTTATTCCAGAATTTCAGACTTTGAGGTTTTTGGTAAATAGCTGAAGAGCAGGGCTTGAAGCTACTGAACGTTGTGTCAATGTTCTCCATGATTGTTTTGTTGTTATTCATACCTTTGTGGTATTTGAGCAATGCAGGAAGCTAATGAGGAGATTCAGTGGAGAAAGGACGATGTATTATCATGAAGATGGTAAAATTCCTCCTCATATTCTTCTTTTATTAACAGGGAGAAGACAGAAAGGTCAAAGCAGATTCCTGTAAGAACTCCTGGCTATCCGAGCAGCATCTTCAGCATCTTTCCCAGACGCACTCAGGAATGTCTGAATACCCTCCACGGAGCCCTCAGCAAGCTCCGAGCTCGTCAAATAACCTCCATTTATCCGCCAGCAGCATTCAGGCGAACCTTTTCAATTCGCCACAGCCTCCAGTGGAAATGAACCACTTCTACGTCTCGCAGCAGAGCTGGGAGGACGGCGGCGGCATCCACAACCAACAGACACAGGTTCAGCTGTCGGAGAAAGATTTTTCAAGAACTGAACCTTATCTTCAACAATCTCTAACATTCTCGCACCAGGAACAAAACAGCACCATTCAGCAAGGAAACAGTGCTGCAGGTACCAACAGCACAGCAGGAAGCTTTAGCAGTAAGTCAGGAGATCACAAAGACCCAAACCTCTCGTCTGATGTCGGATTATTATCCTCCACACACTGCAGCCAAGCATCTCAAGTCTGTAGAGCTGCTGCTGGATTTATGGGCGAAATGTCAAAGAACAACCAGAATGCCGGGTCTCCATCGAGGCCTTTTGCTTACCCAGAACCTGAGGAGAAGCAGGACAGTATAGATAAGCCACTCAGTGACTACACAAGTCACAGCAGCAACTCTGGGAGACCTGACTTTACCAACAAATACCAGTCCATCTTCTTGACTGGATCGCTTCCTGGCTACCAGCCTGAGTGTCTAAGCGGCGGCGTGAGGCCCGTGCAGAGCTGCCAGGACTACACAGAAGACACCAGCAGCAGTGACGACGAAGGGAAACTCATAATTGAGCTTTAAGCGAGAGCTGAACGTACAACGTGTGCTATCTGAGATGTTTTTGCTGTAGATATATGTTTTGCAGAGGCACAGCTGCTCTGGAGGTAGAAATGATATCACTGGTGGACGGAGCCCATTTAACTCAAAATATACATAAAGTGGAAAAGAAAATGATTGAAATATTAAAACATTAAAAACAAACTAATGCTGCATTCCTGTTCAATTGTTCAAAGCGTAATTATAAACAGAAAGAAACTGCCACTTGTCTGACTGTCAGCCAGGAATTCCAGTAATGTCATCTCCCACATGGCAAAACCACACGCACTGGCAGCTACATCCAAATAAACCCAGATTAAGACAGATCAGGCTTCTTAAGAGTAATGAACTACAACGCTCTGGTTGTTAACAAACCACTACACGTATGCAACATGATAAAAACTGCTCGTTTGGGCCCACTTTCCATGTGGCTGGCGTGACTGCGCAGCTCGTAATGGGGATAGTCATCAGAGATGGATGTGTGAACACTTGCAGGTTGGAATAAGTCACCGTTCCTCCTTCATTCTCTTTCTGCTGACACCGTCACACATGCAGGGACTTGCAACACCACAACAAGCTCTTATCTGTTAGCCGCCGGTGTGCTAGTTTGACATCCTCTTCTGTTTCACCTCACGTCTTCACTTCACAAACACCAAAGTGCTTCTGCTATATGATCTGACATGATGTCTAAATCATGTAAATTGGAATAAATAAAGTTTTTCCCACCATTTTCTAAACTCACAGTTGCACAATCAGCTCAATGCAAAACAGCTCTTGGGCTTTCATTTGTCAGTCTGAGCTGATGTCTGCTTTCCAAACTGCTCAACTTATTCCCACATTCTAGCCGCCTTCGTGCATAAATATATATTTGTGTTTTGGATTTGGATCAGGAGTCTCCATGTTCTCCCCGTGCAGCGTGGGTTCTCTCCGGGTTCTCCGGCTTCCTCCCACAGTCCAGAAACATGCTGAGGTTAATTGGTGATTGTAAATTGTCCGTAGGTGTGAATGTGAGTGTGCTTGGTTGTCTGTCTCTAAGTGTAGCCCTGTGATAGACTGGTTACCTGTCCAGGTGAACCTGCCTTCACCCTGAGTCAGCTGGGATAGACTCCGCCCCCCATGACCCTGGTGAGGATGAAGGTGTAGAGATGATGGATGGATGGATGGATGGTACATGACTGTTTTGCAAGCTTGGAACTTAAAAATAAAAATGAAAACAGACCATTAAATACGTAAGAAAAGTTGTTTTGTTTCTTTCATAACTGACAGACTTAAAAAGTCTGCATGTCAAACAACTTGCCCTCAGTCTGAAAAGTAATAATTAAATGCTGATTTAGACAAACTGTTTAGATTGCAAACATTATTCTATTTGGCTTGGGGTAGCATAATAATCTTGGAAATTGCATCAAATTTAATATTGCATGTATTTTTTAAACTCAAATTTCTGCCTTAGTTGATTTCAAACTAAAACTGACTTGATGAATTTTAAAGCTCACATTTCAAGTTCCCACCTATCTACTGAATGTTGGAGCAACTTGTTTATTTTAATATGTCAACTTAAAAACTCTTCATAATTCTGACAATAAAGTAAAGACCTAAAAACTCCTTTAAAAAAACAGAACTGCTGGTTGGAATGACTTCACTTCTATAAATAATCCACTGGAGCTCATGTTCATGCAGCCAATCATAAAAACACACTTTTAACTTTATCACAGCTGCTTGGACATCATGATACAAATAGCTGAACTAGATGTCTGGGAGTCATGTGTAATCTCTGGAAAAGCCAGCGTGACTGTTTATTATGTTAAAGTGTTGTAGCTTCACTTCACCGTCCCGTCCCTCCTGTTCTGCTCCAACACCCTAACCCTAACCCTAACCCCTAACCCTACCTAACCCTAACCCGCTGCTCTTTAACTCAACCAATGAGATTATTCCTGCTTCTGAAAAGGCAGCGCGACCTCCGTGCTGCTCACACGCACACACAGTTTCTGCTACAGTTTGTCGACCTTCCCACAATGACTCTCTCTCATAAATGGCAGCCTGTAACCTTCCCACACAACACCTGCTTGTGTGAATCATGAAGACATGCTGCCAGATAATCATTAAGTTAATCTCTGCTGCCAATCAGATCACCCAGGTGAAGCCGGCTTTGGCTGGAGGGGAATGACCCCCTTTCCTCGTCTGGCTTCACTAATGAGTCAGCAGCCGTGATAAGACACCACAAACAGGAAATGTGTGGACGCGTAGGACTGCTGTAGATAAACTCCCAGCTATAGCTCATGCTGTCACTCCTCAGTCCATTAGTGTCCATGAAAGCTTTGGGGCCTGACAGGTTGATGTAGTGTCAACGCATCTGCTCAGACCTGCTTCCTGTCTGATGAGCTGATAGTGACAACTAGAAAAGTAAAGGAGCTAAAACTTTGCTTGGTCAAGCTGCAAGCCGAGTTATTGTTGTGTTACCAACTGCTTTGTGTTCATTTTTCTAATTTTATATCTGCATACATGAGTAAACAGAGCAAAGGAAGGGATTCATCTCAGATTTATTGCACAGTGTTTTCTGTTTTCAATCAGTTTCATGAAAGAAGTCGATTAAACTTTGCCCAAAATCATCTTCTCAGTCTGACTGTGTCTGTTTTTCAGTTAGAATCCTAAAGTGGTTGTAACAACCCTGAACCGACACACACGCGACTCCTTTTTATTTAGATTTACACTTTTCGATTGCTGACACACAACTGTGACGACACCACAACACAGAAGAGATCTTACCTTGTTAAACTGTTTTGGTTGGGAGTGTGTGACATGTTCATGGACCACCAGGACTTCAGAGAGTCTTCCCGTGAGGCTGCTCATCGCTGCTCCAGCTTAGTTTCAAAAGCATCACACTGAAATGTTTTCCCAAAACTGTTCCAAATGAGTGAAACCTCTAACTCCCACTGGGTCTGCTTGTTTACACCTCGAGCACAACTTTAATATTTACTATTATAGAAGTAGAACACTTAGTTGTACAATCTGTCCTTCACTGTGGCATGATAGATGGATGATAATTCATCCACATCCCAGAGTCTCTGCAGTCAGAGTCTCTGCAGGGCAGCAAACTAAAAGTCCGTTTGAGAACCAAACTTGAGCCACAATCCAAAGACAAAAGACCCAGACTTTGGATTTGTTGGGCTTCTCTGGTCTTTGCCTTTCTATGTGAAGTGCTATGAGATGACGTATGTTGTAAAATAGAGCTTTATAAGCAAAATGAAGTTTTAATTTAATTTAATTCATGGCCTGTTAACAACTGGTGCAAAAATGTAGCAGCGAGAACGCTGACAAACCCTTCACACATGGAACAGGTTACTCCAGCAGCGGCTGAATTAAACTGTTCTCCTCTTCATTATTATTCATTACAAGCTCCCCCTTCCCGTCAAAAAGCTCTTAAAACTCACCGGTGAAGCCTTTATAATTGGTTTTAAAAGGCGCTATGGAATCAAACGTTCTTATTATTAGTATTATGAGTTAAAGTACATCCTGTCTTAAACACACCAGTAGCAGGATCTGCTCCATGCTGCTGGAAGGTGTCCAGTTGGACAGCATTACAAAGACACACATATGTCTCTGTCAGCGATGAACAGAGTGAAGACAGAGATCCACATTGTGTGTCAGGAATTACGTGGCGTTAACAGATGATGAAGGTACTATAGATAGAAGGGGTAATGTCATACTGTTGGTTTTTCCTAACTTTAGCTCAGCTTTGTTAGGAAACGGGCCATCTTTAGACCCAAAACTACCATCATGCTGAACATATATACCCCTGTGTGTTCTTGCTGAAATATTGTCCACAGACGGAGGTGGTGCTACGGTATGAACTCTGTTTTTATATTGAGCTCCTGTAGTGGACACATAAACCCTAAATGACTACGACCTCGCTGCACAGATGAACAGCCAAATACAACAAGCTGCTGTTGTGTCTTGTTTCCTCTGTGTGTGATCACTGCAGTGTGAGCTGGCTGACACTCACACTCTCTGACATGATATTTAATTTAATGTAATGAGAACTGTATTGATGTTATCTGATCCTGAATCTCTGGACATCAGTCCATCCACATTTTTCATGGTTGTGCGGGGCATTCCAAACGTTCTTCTCCAAAGCAGTGTTTTCCAGTTCCTTCTGAGGGATCTAAAGGCATTCCCAGGCCAGATGAGATATATAATCCCTCCAGCCAGCTCTGGGTCTTCCCAAAGGTCTCCTCCCAGATGGCCGGCCCGGAAAACCTCCAAACGTCGGCGCCTAAGAGGCGTCTGAAGAAGGCGCCTGAACTACCTGAGCTCAGTCCTTGTAACCAGGAACTGGATCTAATGAATGGAACTAATTTCCAGTGCTTATAATCATCAGGTCCTTCTTTTGTTCACTAGTCAGAGCTGAAGCCCACAGGTGAGAACTGGAATGAAGAGCAACTGGTGAGTCAAGAGTCTTTTCTTCTCTGCTGTAGACAAACGTAACTACATAATGATCACTTCAATTTCAAAGAAGACATGAACGTCTCAGAAGACGACTGACTCTTATACTGAATATATAATTTAATCAACAAAACTGTTTCAAGAAGGAGAATACTGATTAAACACCACGTCCACCTACATATATGAAGCCTTGTGTGATAGTTATGATGAGCTGTTGGCCACAGCAGCTAGATCAGCAGTGTAGTAATCATCGTAGCAATTTGATCCAAACTGAAGCATCCTGACAAACACAGAACACCATGGACCGTGGTACACACAGGTCAAGGTATAAGAACTGCACCTTTTAATAATTTTATAGAAAGTTAACAAATCTGTACCTTTTAATACATCTTCCAAAGTAATTGTCCAGTTTGTTTATGATCAAATATGTGCACAGCTGATGGCATTCCAGTCATCCCAAGCTGTACTTCATGCTAAGTGCTAATGTTGCATGCTAACATGCAAAACTAAGATGGTGAACAGAAGAAACATTAGAACTGCTGGACAGTCGTGTCACTGCAGAAATTTACAGGTTCGACATTCAGAGATTAAAATTTTGCAAAAAATGTCCGATTTTCCAACTTGATGCTCTGATGCTGCTCCATGTGGAAAAACAGAAGGAGGTGAACTTTATTTCTGAATGAACTGATGAATAAGCCGTTATATCTGTCATTTCTACTCCATTTTCTGATCTA